TGAACTATGTAACACCTTTAGTGCACTATGCACCAAGTAACATCTAGCGCCAGTGCAAGGTAAACCAGTCAGAATTGCCCTGATGAAGATGACAGAAGGTCATCGAAACGTCGGCTTGAAAAATAAATGGCTGTGATAAAAAGAACTTTGCTATTCAGTCGTTTACCAACCTGATGAAATTATTTACGGATCTAGTCCTCGTTTTCAAACTTAGGTTTTTCATACTTAACACTGAATGGCAAAACATCCTCCTGGGGCAATAAAATAATTAATAAGGGTAATAACAGTAACTGATACTACACACTGTGATTTATTACATGTAACCTCTGAACTTGTGTACAATTCAGAAAAAATACAATGTAAGCCATTATGGGCTCTGACACTGATCTTATAGTTTGTTATCTTTCACCAAATCGTAAACCTCCAAACAAAAACTTAAAGTATAAAGAGTGCCTGTCAGAACGCGTGGGCTATGATCTAGTCTCGTGTTCTCGCGAAACTAAGTCACTCCGAGATCAAGACGTACAGTGGACGTCGAAAATTTGGAGATATGTGTTTGCTATCTTTCAAAACAGTCACTGATTGATGAATATTCTGCTAATCTTACGTGCCTTGTGAACCTCTTGAACGATATTTAAGTTAAACTTTGCAAAATACAACCGTTACATCATCAATAGTAAAACGTTAGAGATTCTGAAATAGTTATAACACAATACTACACCTTCAAAATGAAAAACTAAAGCCGATATTACTGTTCAAAATCACATTTATTTTGAAAAAAAACTCAGCATTGATGCCTCTAGAATGAAACTTTACAACTTTTATATTTTCTGCAGTACATCGCTCAACGACTAGAGTTCCAGAATCAGGATGTCATGATTATTCATTGTATACATGCATGACAAAACACAGTCTTTCCCTGTTCTTGGTAGGTCAATGACTATAGTAAGCACACTAAGTGTTACAATGGATCTTCCTGCACATTATGGATGGTTAAATTTTGTAAACATCTGTACTCGTGTACAGTTACAAAATATTTCACAATAAAATACAGTCACAAAATATTTCACAATAAAAGGCTCTCACTCTATACTTTACAGAAACAACAACTTTTGCAAATAAATTTTCTATTAGAAATGTAACAAATGTCATGTAGGGTTAAGATGTACGTCTGTGATTACTGTGATCTATGATACTAGTTTAGAAGTAGTTTAGAATATTCATCTTGTCTCTTGGCAGACAAAAGCATCAATTCTGAGTTGCGTGTGTCTACAACTCATTACCGCTACATTTTCGTAATAAATTGACATATATACAACGAGGCAATGAGAGACTCATTCACTAAACTTTTGTTTTAGTTTTTTATCTTTCCACAAATTCAGAGCCCCCCCCCCCCAAAAAAAAAACTTTGGAAAATTACTGTTGAAATTTAAAGGGTTATTAGTATTAAACGTTTTGATCCTTTGAGTAGCTTAAATATACCATCGCCTGCCGTTCTGTCACCCTAGAAAAAAGGTTTTGAACTGCAAGTCTCATCCTCCTACATACTATTAACTTCATTAAATTAAGTAATATGAAGTAAAATAAACGTGTCATCATCTGTCCTTCTGGAAAACTACAGCAGTTACCCATTACATCATTTTTGATCTGAAAGCCCCATATACTTTCAGTTAACACAACCCATGTACTATTTACTACATCAAATTAAGTAACAATAAGTAACTTATGCACCGTCTTGTGCCCTTCTTGTGCCCAACTATTACAAGAAATTTGAACTGCAAGTCTCCACAACTTACGCAGTAAACTATTCCCACGTTATAATCTATTTTACCCACCTTGAAGCTTCAGGTATGCACTCATCTATTCATAGCATCTGTCATGATTAGAAATTTAGAAGTACATATTTTTGAAAATAAATTCCATATTAAGACTTTGTATTTCAAAACCTGCTTGGTCTTTTTGTCTCAGAATCTAAAGAGTAGTCCCTTCATTTATCACAGCTGATTTCCAATGGAGCCCTCGTCAAATTATAAAAATTAAAAGGATACAAAAGAAAAATACTTAAATAATATTCATTACGTTATTTACAATGATACCAACATAAAGAAGTACATATAGATAAAACGAAGGAGTAATACGTTATAAATTGTTAAGAGTTACTGCTACTTGCACATATACAAGTGCACGTTTTTCTCAGCTGTTCTTTTGTGCCACACCAATGAAATATGTAGGATCTTGGATTAAAAAAAAAGGTGAAAAAAATGTTTGAGGTCCAAGAAAATAGAAGCAGTGTAGAAAGCGGGGAGGCTATATTTTGTAGGATAGGATTTATGTCTGTAGCGATTAATAGAATGATATATATCATATATCAGTTTCAGTTTATTACGATACCCTTTAGCCCGTTAGGGCTAATCTTCCAGGGCTCATATATGGTAGGATATATTCAAGACCTTTAAAGACATTTTGTAATAAGAGATATATGTATGTTTCCAGGGGTAAAACAGTTACTGTACAACTAGGGTTTCCCCTGGATCATGGATTCTTGTAAAACTAAGTGTGGAGGCAGTTGCACAAATGTGATATGGGAAATGCTTATATGTACCTTGCGATTGTTTCTGCTAGACCTTTGTTTTTAAGTGTTTCCCTGGACATTCACGTAGGGGGTTGGTGTAGGCCTAGGTGAGAATCAAACAGAATGAAACAATAGAAAGGCGGTCGAAAGTAAAAAATATTAGATCTCTCAATAGTCTTTCAGCGAGTATGTAATTATTTTCAGTATCTTAATAATTTTTCAATGATTGTTCATCACCATCATTGTTACTGCTCGCATTAGTCGATGATGTGGGCCACCGCTGCTTTCCACTCTTTTGTCCAGCTCAATGGCTATTAAAGGGGCACTATGTAACATCTCATGTGATTGTTTACTTCAACAAATCTGTGCAATCATCTCACACTTCTGACATGTATGGTTCGCACTTAAAAACAGCCCACAAGAGGTGACTCAGTTTGTGGCACCAACACAAAATACCGGATGTGAACAGTGCTTTTAAATTGTGTAATATTTTGGCACATCCACTTTCTAAATTACACATATTTGCATCATCAAGGATCAGGATAGATTCAACTACGTTAAAAGTTTGTTAAGAAATGACTAGAAACTTGACTTTTTGTATCTCTGTTACTTTAACTTTAAATAATCTTGAAATAATTTAAGTTTGAAAAAAAATGCTGTTGAAATTTCCGAAATAAAATTTATAGATTTGGAATTAACGTTTTGTTTCTCTTGAGTAGATTAAATGTACCATCTTTGGCCTTTTTGGCACACTACAACACCGGTTTCAAACTGCATTTGCCGATCTGACGATCATAAAGTCATTATGATCGTCAGAGGTGGAGAGCCTTTGTAGACAGAAAGACCCCCTACGATGACAGCTACAAGACTGTGTGAGACAATTTTTTTTAGTTTTCTTTATCCCTCATTGGCTGTCCAGCCTTCCTGACTGCATAGATATGGATTGAATCATGGTGACTCCACTTTTGTGTACACAGAATTTACCGTCAAGGCAGTCGAGCCTGTGCCATAAGATGAATTTCAAAAATCTAAGGGTTCAGTGATGGGCTGAGACTGACCCTGCCCCATCTTACATGTATCATGATCACCAGCCGTTACATTTGCTGTATTTCTAATGGTCACAACTTTGTATAAAGAACTTTGCTGTAAGGCAGTCCGGCCTATGCCATATGAAAAAGATATATTGCTAGCACCCAATGATTCAGTGATAGACTGACAGTGGGCGGTGCCTGTCTGATCACCATTACTGGTCATTGCAGTAACCGTTATGTTTGTGTTGGATTCAGTGATGACCTAAAACTGGCCCTGTCCACTCTGATCATGACCACTGGTCATTACAGTAGCTTCTGTGTTTGTGTTGGATTCAGTGATAGCCTGGGACTGGCCCTGTCCTCTCTGATCATGACCACTGGTCATTACAGTAGCTGCTGTGTTTGTGTTGGATTCAGTGATAGCCTTGGACTGACCCTGCCCTCTCGGATCATGATCACTGGTCATTAAAGTAGCTGTTGTGTTTGTGTTAGATTCAGTGATGGCCTGGGACTGACCCTGCCCTCTCTGATCATGACCACTGGTCATTACAGTAGCTGTTGTGTTCGTGTGTGATTCAGTGATGGTCTGGGACTGGCCCTGCCCGCTGTGATCATGATCACTTGTCATTACAGTAGCTGTATATGTAATGGCCTGAGGCTGGGTCACAGCTTTGTATAAAGAACTTTGCTGTAAGGCAGTCCGTTCTGTGCCATATGCAAAAGATGTATTTCTAGCACCCAATGATTCAGTGATGGCCTGTGATTGACACTGCCCTGTCTGATCACCACCAATCATCATTACAGTACCTGCTGTGGTTGTGTTATATTCAGTGATGGCCTAGGACTGGCCCAGTCCACTCTGATCATGATCACAGGTCATTACAGTTGCTGTATTTGTAATGGCCTGAGGCTGGGTCAAAGCTTTGTATAAAGAACTTTGCTGTGAGGAATCCCGTTCTGTGCCATATGCAAAAGATATATTTCTAGCACCCAATGATTCAGTAAAACTGACCGGTGCTTGTCTGATCACCACCACTGGTCATTGCAGTAGCTGCTGTGGTTGTGTTGGATTCAGTGATGGCCTGAGACTGACTCTGTCCTGTCTGATCCTGACCACTGGTCATTACAGTAGCTGTTGTGTTCGTGTGTGATTCAGTGATGGCCTGGGACTGACCCTGCCCTCTCTGATCATGACCACTGGTCATTACAGTAGCTGTTGTGTTCGTGTGTGATTCAGTGATGGTTTGGGACTGGCCCTGCCCGCTGTGATCATGATCACTTGTCATTACAGTAGCTGTATTTGTAATGGCCTGAGGCTGGGTCAAAGCTTTGTATAAAGAACTTTGCTGTAAGGCAGTCCGTTCTGTGCCATATGCAAAAGATGTATTTCTAGCACCCAATGACTCAGTGATGGCCTGTGATTGACAATGCCCTGTCTGATCACCACCAATCGTCATTACAGTAGCTGTTGTGTTTGTGTGTGATTCAGTGATAGCCGGGGACTGACCCTGCCCTCTCTGATCATGACCACTGGTCATTACAGTAGCTTCTGTGTTTGTGTTGGATTCAGTGATAGCCTGGGACTGGCCCGGTCCACTCTGATCATGACCACTGGTCATTACAGTAGCTGCTGTGTTTGTGTTGCATTCAGTGATAGCCTGGGACTGGCCCGGTCCACTCTGATCATGACCACTGGTCATTACAGTAGCTGTATTTGTAATAGCCTGAGGCTGGGTCACAGCTTTGTATAAAGAACTTTGCTGTAAGGCAGTCCGTCCTGTGCCATATGCAAAAGATACATTACTAGCACCCAATGATTCAATGATGGCCTGTGATTGACACTGCCCTGTCTGATCACCACCACTGGTTATTGCAGTTACGGTTGGGTTTGTGTTGAACTCAGTGGTTGCCTGGGACTGGCCCTGCCCTGTCTGATCATGACCACTGGTCATTACAGTAGCTGTTGTGTTTGTGTTGGATTCAGTAATGGCCTGGGACTGGCCCTGTCCTGTCTTAACACGTGGATGGTCAATTTCCTCATATCTGTGATCATCAACACTAATCTGTGACTGACTCCGCATTGTCTGATCACGACTACTGGTAGATATTGGGTCATTTGATGGTGTTTCCATTCCGGCGTAAATAGTATTTGGCTTTAAGGCAGCTAGAACTTGGTTTGAGAGATTTGCAACTTTCAAAGATTGAATGTTAACCTGAGACTGACTCTGCCCTGTCTGATCATCACCACTGGTCATTACTGTAGCTGTGGTGTTTTTGTTTGATTCACTGATAGCTTGAGACTCACCTTGCCCTGTCTCATCACGATGTTTGTCAACATCTTCATACTGATTATCACCACTGACCGTTACTGTAGCTGTGGTGTTCATGTCAAAACCAACATTGGGATTCAGTCCTAAAGGAGGATGCCTGGCCCTCTTCTTGTGCCAAATTACGATGCCAATCAGGACAATACCAGCTACTGAAACACTTACTGAGCCTATGATAACAGGTAGGGGTGAACTGGGAGCAGCTTTTGGTTTGTCTGAAGTTGGTGTTGCCCAGGTTGTTATGTTTGTGTTTTCTGCAGGACTTGCTGTTGAGCCAGCATTGTAATTAAAGAACCAGTGATAGCGAGAGGTGCCAGCCTCATTGTAACACTTATTAGCACTTTCTAATGGGTTACCATGGGGCTGTGTGGCAGATGTGGAGCCTAAATAATATGTTGATGGGCTAGCATTGCTTTCTGTGTTGCCAAATGAAGGTGTTGGAATTTCTGATTGGCTTACAAGGGGCTGTGTGGCAAATGTGGAACCTACAGAACCCACTGTTGTTCTGACATTGCTTTGTGTGTTGCCAACTGATGAAGGTGTTGACATGTCTAATTCTCTAACAAGGGGCTGTGCGGCAGATGTGGTGCCAACAGGATATGCTGATGGGCTAGCATTGTTTTCTGTGTTGCCAACTTTGGATGTTGACATTTCTGTCTGGCTAACAAGGGGCTGTGTGGCAGATGTGGAACCTACAAAACCCACTGTTGTTCTGACCTTGCTTTCTGTGTTGCCAACCGAGGGGGTTGGCATTGCAGAGGAGGTTTGGATATCAACAGTTACATGTAGTGGTGATATGGTTGACTCTTCACATGTCAATTCTTCTAGATCGACATGCGCAAGCTTCTTTCCCTTCAATTTGGCGGGTTGGGCACATGTTATCTTGTTTTTAAATACAGTATTTCGACTGAAGGGAACCATCCTACAGTCACACTGCCAGGGGTTTGCACCGAGTTCTATCCTCCTCATAGATAGGAGCGAGCGGGGAATGGCCGACATCTTGTTGTGGTTAAGTTTTAAATGTATGTATCCGGGTAGATTTGCAAATGCATAAGAATCGATCTTAATTATCTGGTTGCCGCTCAGGTACAACATTTGTAGTTGCCTTGGGCCTTCAAATGTGTCACTTTCGATCTTTGTTATCTGGTTTACCCTGAAATCTAACTTTACAATCTTGTGTAGGTTTTTAAATGTGCCAGGCTGAATCTTTGTTAACCTGTTTCCTGAAAGATCCAAAACTTCTAGCTGGGGTAGGTTTTTAAATGTATCAGGCTGAATGTTTGCTATCTGGTTTCCTTGGAATGACAAATAGCGTAGTGAGGGTAGATTTTCAAATGTGCCTGGATGAACCATTGTTATAAGATTGTAGTGCAGCATTAAACATCGTAGCTTGCGAAGGTTTACAAATGAACCAGGCCGAATCATTGTTATATTGTTATAATCCAGCCTTAAATCGTCTAGCTGGGGTAGGTTTGCAAATGTACCAGATATAATTTTTGTTATCTGGTTATATGAGAGATTCAGCTCTTTTAGCAGACCTAGATTGTGTATTTTTCTTATGATACGGCGGTCTCCAAATGTTTTCGGCTGGATATATGTTATCTTGTTGTAGGACAGGTCTAAATATTCTAGTTTGGGTGAGTTTAAAAATGTAGAAGACCGCATCATTGTTATCTGGTTGCTGTCCAGGCACAACATGCGCAAATCCTTATACCGTAACAGCTCAACCCGTTTAACCTGCTGAATACGATTACTTGATAAACCCAAACAAAGGATCGATGATTGGAGGTACAGAGGGATACTGGTGAGGTCTCGGTTTCTTAGGTTAATGCAACGTAATGATGGTTTAAAGATGCAGTCAGATTCTGGCATGTTGGGTTCCTTCAGGATGATGAGAAGGAAAATCAGCACGTGTCTCAGTTTTCGTCCCATGGTGTCCTGCCACCTGAATAAAACGGAAAGCTCCTGAGTGAGGCCACTTTAACTTTATATTAGACCTCAAATTTAACGAAAAAATGTTAACTTGAATGTTAACATAAAGTCGGGGTTTAAACTCTTGGTTTGACCAAGAGAGAAATGTTGTTAGACTTAAATAATCCTCCCGTGAGTTCGTTTTTGTTTTTCCCTCTTGCTAAATTCTAAATTCTTTAGAACAAGAAATTAAGATGGAGTGGCCTTAGAAAATCAATGACGTTGGGACATCCCTAGGTGTCCATGTGACTATACTCTTTGCCCCTTTGTTTGCTGCTGTCTATGTAGGATTGGCATTTCATTGAGAGAAGGTAGCAAGGTTGGTAGAACATATCGGAGGTACGAGGATTCTCTTTTGCACAACCAACGGTTGTGACTTTTTGACTAAATGGACAATTTGGAGGTTTGACTACCCTGACAATTAGGGTTTCAAATAGTTGAGCACTCAAGTAGGTGATTTTTGCCAGCTAAGTTCATAGATGTACACCATATATTCCAATGGGGCCAGGAAATAGTGGTCTGTGGCAGGAAGGTGCCTGGTAGACATAACAATGTAAGCAAGGTAGTACAATTCCTGGTTGTGCAGAAGAAAAACACCTATTCCCAAACAATAATATGATGTAGCAATGAAGGATAAATGTTTCAATACTTGTTCTTGACTTAAAAATTCATCTGTCCTGATTGAAGTCATTGTGAAACAAGTTTAAACTGTAATTTCCAACACAAGAAATAGGATTTACTAAAAATTTCGACTGTACACTCCATTTTTCATGGAGGTTAAGTAACCTCCCGACGTTACGAAGTCCTCCTTTAACGTTGTCTCACAGATGACAAGGATCTCTAGAATGCCATTAAAACTTTTGCCGACTTCGCAGACGAAAAAAAGGCATGTAAGTATTACTCGTTTCTTCAAATAAATGGATAAATCATTCAACAAATGGTCAAATATGGGCCTCCTGGTGGCTGACCTTGGTACTGCAACTTGGCAACTTCCGGTTTTTGTAATTTGCATCTTGAACTATGGTCTTGACTTTTTGGTGACGGATAGGTTTTTCTGTCAGGAATAAGTGGTGTGGGTTTGGTCCCCCTAGCAGCTTGTTCTGGAACTGCAGGGGGCTTTCAGGCGAACTCCGCAAAAAGTCCAGATAGGAACAACGGATTTTTATCATTTTTGGTGTGTAGGTAGTTCAGAGAGGGTTGTACATGATTAAATTCAAATTATGCAAACGAGGACTTTGCATAACTTGCATACTTAAGAAGGAAATTCTCTAATTACTGTGTTTTTATAATGATAGTAATTTTATACATGTAATCTATTTAATCTGTGGCAGGCGGAACATCAACAGATACCAATTATGCAAATTATGACCTAATTTGCATAATTCATGTGAAAATTCTTGTTGGTAAATGATGGGAATTCTATACATTGTGACATGTGTAAGTTACTTAAAGGTTAACACCAATATGTATATATTATTTTAATGTAAAGGTCATTTGCATAATTAATTAGGACATGTTGAAATGAAGGAGAGGAATTTCACGCGAAAAATATTTCAATTTGAGTTTAGAAAACCATAAATTAAGATTATGCTAATTACTGCCTTAGTTCCATAGTCAATGGGACAAATAATGAAAACATTTACAAAAACTCATATATTTAATGGAGGTCCCCGAATTCTTGTTAAGTATGAAACACAGCGTTCTTGGTGTATGACATAATAATGAAAATCTCAATGAATACATGCACTAAAATGAAGACAAATCAGCATGTGTCGCTGCTTTCTTCCCATGGCATTTTGCTAGCTAAACAGAACAACAAGTTCCTCTGTAAGACGATGCCATATCTTAAACTCCTCTTAAACTACCCGGCGGGGCCACTTTTTCTGTTTGTTACAGTATGGACCTGTTAATTGTCTGAGACATAATACCTAAATATTCATATTATTTACTCCATTTTATGGACCTGTTTGGACCTCCCAGACAAGGACAGAGTACAAAAAAAGCTCCTATTTCTGAAATATTAATCTTGGTAGTCCTTCGTCGTCGAAGAGGACTGCCAATTTGCTCATTCACGGGGGATGTGACCTCATATGGCTAATGAAATATTAAAAATTAGCCATAATAGGACTGCTTTTGCTGCGTGTACTCTTCAGAAAAATGCAACCAAAGAAAACCCCCCGGTCAGTGTAGACCAGTAAGCTGTGTTGTCTTGTTCATTGTTTCAAGCCTTGTCATGGCCGTAACGTAGCATAAAACCTTAAAAACATTTAAACAGGCTGTGGGTTGGCAAATCTGAAGTCTCTGATTACAGCGAAATTTTCACCAAAAACGCCACATCACTTGAAAACAACTATCATCATGACGCAGCACCCCTGTTACCCTCTTTAGAACTAACCTTATCCTAATCAGATATTTATGTCTTAAAGCCATCTACCACTGCTGACAGTCAGAAAACTGCCCATCTGTCACCCTTAAATATTCTTAGAAAAAACTATATCCCTGCCTATAAGCGTAGGTCAGAAACTGCACTTATGGTGCACAACAATTTGTACTTAAAATGTTCATCCACTGGCAGAAACATACCTCTTAAGTTGGCCAGAAAAGCTTCAGTTGGCACTTTCTGGACAGAAACTCTGGCAGAGGTAACTGTTTTCTTGTAGGGTGTGTCAGCCTCCTTCGGTAGCGGATCCGCAATGTAGTGTGACAAACAACCCAAGATGTGAGTATAGTGGTTGATTGTCTGAAGCTGATTATTTGAATAACATTAACATTTATGATCATCATGAAAATTCTACTCATGACGCAGGTCGCGAGATGCCTATTTAGTTGTTTTCGTCATATCTGCATGGTGCTTTTTAAATTTTTTGGATAGCGACATACGGTTTTGAAATTGCGGTCCCTCACACTTGAGTGCATTACTTCACAATGGGCACTATACGGACACTACAGGACACTGCAGCTCATTAGGCATATAACAACAATACTCCTTGTATGCTCCAACAATTTGTTGCAAATGTGAAATGACGTTATGGAATTAAAAGCAAAGGACAAATGTCTTTGAAAATTAAAACAATCATTTACATACACTTACTTATTTTGCTTGTATGGTATTCAATCTCTACGGACATGGTAATTTATTTCATTTTGTTTATTTGCAACCATTATTTAAGTGGCTTCTGTCGTTTCGCCACTATCATCTTCAGGATGTTTCAGGATATTGAGTTTCCCATGGCATTTATACGAGTATTCTAACTAATGAGCCATTCTGCACTTCTCAAGCTCTACTGACACTACACGTTTTCTCGGACAAAAAGCCATTCTGGAACTGGAAGCCATTCTGGTATTTTAACCCAAAGTACAAACAACGTAAAGAAACATATTTTGTGTTACATATAGATATACCATGTATAAAATGAAAAATGGCGAGTCCAATCACAATTTTGGGGGGGTACAAGGAGATATTTTACTATGAAGTGTGAAAAAAATTCATTTCTAATAACATCTTTTCAGCCAGAAAACATGTGCGATCACATTCGTCGTATACAGGTCGTCGTGCGATTTTTATGTCGTACGACAAGCAGGCTGCGACAGAACCAAACGCCGACAGAGCTTACTTTTTTAAGACTCCTCAACGTCTGTCTCGATATTTTGTCGCGTAAATTGCATTTTCCAAGGGCACAAGATCGATGGCATGTCGATCAGGACTCCATGGGCTAAATTATTTGGTACTCTCCTACATACTAGCCTGGTAACACACTAATGGACAAGACAGCATCCAATAGGCAAGGCCTTATCCAATAGGCAAGACATTCACTAGTTAAGGTCTGAAGGCCACACGGAACAGAGCCGGAGGGTCCATCACGATGTGAGTGAATCAAACCTTACAGTCTGGTTCTGGCTTGATATCTTCAAAAGGTGAGTCACCTGTTAATTCAAACCTTCCACAAATGTGGGTTATCTTTAAAATAGACAACTAGAGGTCAGAGATATCATGCATTTGTCAGAGTGACATTGTTCTAGATAATCGAACATGTGTATTCTTTACTTTTTTAATAATCAATTTGGTCTATGCTACAAAAGAATCGCTGTACTCCTTTTTATTGTACGGAACATCCTGAAACGGTTTGCCACAGATTTACAGACGCACCATTACCCGTGTTAGGCCCCCCTACATTATTTGATTTTTGGCTGTTACTGAAAAAAAAATGTTGCAAGAAATTCTGAAAAAATCATGAACATTCATTTAAATATAATGGAGTTATTTTGCTAACAAGCGACAAACACAAAAGGTCCACTGCAGTAACGTAGGGACCACCCACGAAGCCCAAACTTGCACTTAACTTCCCCTTCAACAACGGTAATCTGCCTACCAAACATCATGGACGTCGAATTATGCCTTCAAGAGTTATTTCGCTAAATCCACGGTCACCCACAATACGGCGAGACGATTCCATAGTCTTTCTGACGAAGACAATAAATAGACGGGAACTGCGAATATTATTTTTTCTGCTGTTTTATTAGATCTAACATTCGCTTATCTAGTTAACTTCTAAATCAGTCCAAAAACATCTCAACACACTTTCAAGGCACGCATGTAGGTAATCTCCAAGAAGATCATACGGTGGCAAGGCAGTATCTATTGGTCAGAGGAGTGTCCATTACTCACCTTCGGTGGCCCTGCAAACTCCTCTGGCTAATGGATACTAGTACTGTCTTGCCACCGAAAGGGATCTGCTTGGAGATTACATGAAAGCAGCCATTTGCTGCTTGTCGTCACGTGTACTGGTTAGGTCATGACGTCACTCTTCAGGCCTGCAGGAGAAGTCTGACACGCCTTCCTGGGTGCAGTACATGCCGTCCGGACAGGAGGCGCTGCTGCACTGGTACGGGAACCCGCGGGCGACGGGAGATGGGTCTAGATGCACACAGGGGGGTTGCGTAAGTATTTTTTTGTGCAAAAATCAAGAGCTAAGTACGCCATGAATGGGCACTCTACATTCTGTGTAAAAAGAATGGTAAGTTGAAAAACAATATTTTCTAGAAACGTTAAAAGAACCAATTACGTGAAATCTAAATGTATACCTCTGTAAAGTGATTTGCAAATGACTTATGTTTACAGTGACAAAAATCAAAATCCATGAAAAATCAATCTAACAAATGTATGTCTCGATGTAATAATGATTGTTATGAGAAAATGTACCCACGAACGCATTGGAAGAAGATCACGAAGTCCTGGCAGACAAAACCATACGGGCATTGGAGATTGGAACACCAGTCAATGTCTAAATAAAAGAGACATAAGGAAGAACATGTTAGGAGTTGTAGAGTCCATCCAGACGCATTCTCCCATTCAAAGCAATCCCGCGGCAATCCGACTCGGTCGTATGGGCGGTTCTATCCGGAACCGTGCATTATCCAGAACCATGGTCAGGCATGGTTTCGGATAGTCCATGCGTATCCATAAACATGCCAGAGGCAAATCTACGTTCTTGGATACGCAGAGACTATCCAGAACCCTAACCCTAACTCATTCAGGTTTGAAACTAGATAAGCACAGTTCTGGATACAATAGAGACTATCCAGGACCGTACTTGATCCTAACCCTAATCCTAACCCATTCAGGCATAGAACTAGATAGGCATGGTTCTGGAGACGATAGGGCGATTGGTTAGGAGTTACCGAAACGTTGCCCAGGTAAACGATTTTGACAAGAATTCCACATTCCTGTCACACGTACCTGACTCGCAGTGGTCTCCTTGGTAACCGGTTGGACAGACGCAGTGGTAGGAGTTAACGTCGTCATGACAACTCCCGCCATTTTGGCACGGGTTGGAACCGCACTCGTCAATGTCTGTTGAAATTGTTAAAACATCAGGCTATCATTAAAATTTGTGATCGTTTTTTTAATATGACAAAACTACAAAAGTTTCTAGTCTGTGCCGTATTTGGCTTTATACCCTGTGTACATAGATGAATATATGTTTAAGGGAATGCTTTTCATTTGTCTGTGCTGCAATATTTCACAATCTTCTTTTGGTAGATTTACGAGTCTTATTTCTCGCAGCTTTACTTTAATGTCATCTGTGACCATTATCTGCAAGTCATTGGGTGGTCACTATAGGCAGTTTTGAAGCTATTGAAGTACGACGTCGTACCTATCTCACAAGTGACCACTTTTCTGTTACTTAAATGAAGCTTTCAAAAGTTTTTCAAAGAGAAGAATCCAATGACTGTGCGATTCTAGGACACTGCGTCTTGAAATACCTACTTATCTCACAAGTCTTGCCGTCGAACCCGTCCGGACACTCGCAAAAGGCGGAGGAGTCTCCGAAGCAGGAGGTGCAGATTCCGCCGTTCTGACAGATGTTCTGCCCGCACAGCGTCTGGGCTGGAATGATGAAATGATTTTCCGCAATCAGATTGTAATAAGCCGATTCAAGGTTTGATCTACGCATGCATTTGAAGATTCAGGCCTCTGAGGCGTTAACAAAACACGTCTGATATCAAGGATGGAATGTAAGATTGCCAAAATACGTATGATGTTTTAATTACCGTCCTGACAGATGAAGTTGTGCTGTTCCACACACGGTGCTGTCTTGGCTAGGAATCTGTCCGAGCTGTCCAGGAGGACACAAAGGTCACATGGATCAGCAGGTTCGCTTGTAGACCACTGCAGGGGGCCTAGTGTTGAACGATAAATGGGGCAGTGAATCATGATAGATTGATGATTTGATTGATGCATGAAATTCAATTTGAAATTAGTCCGTCGTAGATGTACCTAAGAAAGGAGCTCCGTTGCTGTAGAGAAACACCGGTACCACTGGTGCTGTTTTAAAGGCGAGCCAGGTGGAGGCTCCGGTGGAAGCCGCGATCGTGTCCGCGAGGAAAGTTTGCTGCTGCCCGTCCTCCACATCCACCAGGTGTCCGCTCTGGGTCTGGCAGGCTCGGGCCGCGTCAGGGTGGGCAGCGGCGGTGGAGGAGAACTGGTAACATTCTCCAGCAAAGGCCACTGGAAGTTGTTTTTGCAATTGAAATTAACAATTTTAACTATTTTAGCGACTCCAACATTGGCACATCTTTTTAAGAGTAACCAACAATTCAACCCCTACCCAGCTGATGTAGGCCATAATCCCCAAATTATAAAAATAATCCAGAAACGGACATACGTTTAAACGATGAACAAATTCCATTGTTGAATCATTACACGCTTTTTTGCGTTTCATAGGGTGCTGTTTGAAAGATCCATCGCAATAAAAAAATCGACGGGCATCTTGATAACATAGTTTAATATTGCATTACCAGTTTCGCAGTTTTTCCCGGTGGCTTCTTTAGGACAGACACAGCTGTAGCCGCTGACGTGATCCAGGCAGGTTCCTCCCAGCCAGCAAGGATTGCTCGCACACACTTCGATGTCTGGATTATAAAGGAATATCTTTTAATCAACGATAATTTCATTTCTGGCTTCGAACTCTTTCTAAGCCAAGTCATATTCTTAATGGGCTAACTGTGTAGAGTTAGGCTAATCTTTCATTTCACCTAATCGTGTTAAAAAAATCTATGTGAATCTGTTAATGTCTTCCTATTAATGTAGTATCAAGAAAGGTACTAACTTTGATCACAGTTGTTTCCTGTCCAGCCGTTCTCACAGCTACAGGTGTAACTCGCCACGCCGTCAGTACAGGTTCCGTGTACACATGGGGAGGACAGGCACTCATCGATGTCTGGAAAAAAGTACAGGGTTTACACACTCTCATCATGTGACAAAAGGAAAAGAGACAGGCTTTGCGCAACCCCTATTCACGAAGTGTTATTTCTTTGTTTTCTTTTGTATCTAATCCAACCACAATGGCAGTATGAAGTAAACATGGTTTGCATTAGATATTAATAAATGAACAGAGCAATATATGTCAATACATACTAACTTCGATCACAGTGGGTTCCTTCCCAACCACTCTCACAGCTACAGGTGTAGTTCACCAAGCCACCGAAATCTTCAGTACAGTTTCCGTGCACACACGGGGATGTTCCACACATAGCCACTGGAAATGGAAGATACTGTTGAAGTTTCGTACATCAAGTTGGGTATTTTCCAGACCTAAGCGAATTCAAATCTATATGCATTTAGCTTCTATCTCGTATCGATGGAACGCTCTCTTGTAAATTGTTTGATGGCATGATATTTCTATGTTTGGTCTTGCCAATCCTTTCCCCTGCAGGTAATTTCATATGAAATGCATTTAACTTATAGCTTTATATCTACAGCATCTTGAATGGAAGTTGATAATTACCGAAATACTTCGTTCTTAGCCTGAATAAAACGTATTTATATATATTGCAATTCCTAGGAAATTCGTGTGTTAGGCCACACCTACTTAATCTTATGCATGACATCCTCTGAAGACCCCCTAACTAGTGTGCGCGGGCGAAATATAATAATAGAAAAAAAATCCGGCCAAAATTTTTTTAAAATAAAAATGCTTCTAAATCACAGGTACAAAAGGTCAAAGCTGGTATTGTGAATTTACGGCAGTACATAGCGACGAATACGACAAGCCGACACATGCAGGCTTTTTGCGGAATTTATGAATCGGCCCTGTAGGTATGTACTTAGTTCTTGAGTCGTGGAGCGTCGGTAGCCTGGGTGCCCGGCTCCGTATTGTTGCTAACTACCATGGACTAACCAGGCTAGGCCAGAGCCTTGGTTTACGTGTTTTTTTTTTTGAGAACAGGTGAAAATTATTGCGCACGCGGATGTCATCCATAAATTAAGTCGGTGTGGCCTAACTACATCAAGGCCATGCAGAGCCTCACCTGCACAAAGGGCGTAAGTGTCGTTGTAGTCCGCTCCCAGCAGATCGTCGCTGTGAGTGTTGTAGTCCACTCCAAAGGCACTGTCATCACCCCACCGGCCAGGGGTGTACACAAAGGTGTCATCAAGGGGCGGACAGTACACAATGTCAGTGTGCCCGCACAGTTTATTCGAGAGCATCTCGAGGGTACGGCAGCTGTAACCAGTACCTTCATAAGTGATGCACTCTGAGGCCCAGTAGTAGTTATGGGTACACCAAGGAGTATTTTGTGATGAGTGGAAGCACGGATATCGCATCCCCGCCTCCTCGCACGTAGACTTTAGGTTGCCGTTAGACATTGGTTTGGCCGAGCGAACCTTATAAAAGGCCCAAGTGTCGTGTGTGGCCAGGTACACTTCTGACCCTTAAGAAAAATCAAGGAATCTCATCACTAGTTAATATTTCTAAAAGTATTTTTTTCGACTTGGAGGAATAGAGCAGATTAAGTCCTGGCACGCAAGAAATCCTTATGTGGCGATGATGATGATAACAAGAATACTTCATTACACATAAGCATAGTTTAATGCAATATAAAGGGAATAAGTGTCGAAGATAGAAAGATAATTTTGTGTAACATATAGTAATGGTAACATTCAAAATCTCCGGCCCCAGACCCTTCACCCTAGAAATGTGTCTAAGCAGATCTCAAATGCAACGTCCCTGCAGAGTGTAAACTGTGCATACCTAGGGGTACTTTGAACATGTAACTTGTGGGGCTTTGACTTAATAGTTACCGTCGGGGGAGGGCGAATAATCTCCATGTACACAAACATCAAAATAGACCGTTAACAATAAGTGATGATATGGCATCATTATTAGTCATCCTTTAAAAGAACAGGTACTGATCGAATTGGCACTAAACTAACACACTTTATTACACGTTCCTAACCCTTGCTAATAATTGATGACGTATTAACGCAAGATTTCTGTCAACACAACCACATTCATTTGCACAACATGTACTAGACTCTGCCAAATGACGAGACCTACCGTATCCAAAGCCACAGCCTACCGAGATGGAAGGAGGCTCGTGATCATGATCATGATAATGGCTAACATGAATTGTCCGTCTGTGTTGTGCCGAGGCCGGCCAGACGATCCCAGCCACAACGAACACCAGGAACTTCAACATCATTGCCGCCTGCTGAGCTGAGTTAAACTGTGGTGCACAATGAATTCGACAATATACATGTACTTCAGCATATGGACAACGGTTCGACGCGAGAGTCTAGGCCGCTGATTGGTGCGGGCTTCGGTAGGACGTCACCAAGTCCAAGCCACATCCTTGACTCCAGCGGCGCGTGTCGCCAACTCTCCAAACAAGTCCATTAGCGGCTATTCGGACTCGGTGACTTTGGTGCGAAAACAGAGACACAGTATGAAAGTCTTATCCTGAACATGCCTATTGTGGTATTTCCCTACAAATTATGCAAATGAATCCATCATTTGCATAAATAATGCGGGTTATAGCACCCTACTTGTACACAGTTCCTGTCAACACAAAAACCGAGAAATACAGAACAAAAAGGAAGAGATACAAAAACAAAGCAGCTTTTCTTTTCGATATGTAGGAGCTCGAGAGACATGCTACATGACAACGCACCGATTATAGAAGTATCTTAAATGTTACACTTTATATTCTCCCTCCCGTACCCTACTAACTGCCGTATCTTTGATATTGTGTTTAACTATATCCACCACTCTGGAAGATTTGACCAATCTCATTAATGTTATGCTATAGGTATTAGTGCGCCAGCCACTTTCATTTTATGTTTATGTTATACTTTATGTCATCTTTATGTTTACTTTTGTATTATGTTTTATATGCAGCGGATTTACATAAGCACAACAAGTGCTTCCTATCCAATGCTCAAAAATCCATGTGAATAAAATAAATAAATAAAGGGAAAATACAATCTTTTTGAAAATGCCCCCACCCCAGTCAAAATGACCACTATCACTTGACAACAGCCCTAAAGAATGCTTCTTCATAGGTCGCATAGCACAGTATTAATGATAGTAGTTCGGGCACAAAGAAGCGGGGTACAATAATTCAGAAAGCTGCACAGATTCTAAGTTGGAACTGCTGGTTCCCATGCATGCAAGCAGGGTCAGATATGCAAATACACATACCGAATCCTGTCACCACCGTTTCACACATCCCATGAGACATTGCACTTCAAATGCCTGTCCTAACCAATCAGAGAGCAAGAACACGAGGACTGAACCATGTAGGATCTTATATTAGGGGTATGAATGGATGATGCACTTATCATGTATATTTCTTTCAATGGAAAATATGATGTTAAATAACTAAGTATGCGAGCTACAGCTTTAGATACTATGAAGAATTTTTGCATAAACCAGCAAACTTCACGACTGGTAATTTTTTTCCTGATTGCCCCACATCCACCCCCAAAGTGAGTGCTGACTTCCATCACGTTATCTTTGCGTCTGGACACTCAGTTGAAGTTGACCACCTGTTGGATTGTGCCATTTTTTTGCTTTCCTCCACAAACAAAAGTTTGTGCCATATCGGTGTCGAGAAAATGTCTTCGGAGAAACTTCTCATAAACCGAGGTGAGTAATCACGGAAAAACATTTTCTATGCCAAATTTTACTTAGGCGGACTGCTACCTGATAGAATAGCCACTTCCTTTCAAAAATATATTTTTTCTTCTGATTCTCATTCAGTGTTCTAGCCAGCGCCTGTCTTTCATTTGATAAAGGTAAAAAAGCAGGCAAAAAGGCGGGCAAAAAAACGCATTTAATTATATGGAATGCCATTAAACTAAGGTAAGTCTACCCGCAGTGGTCGGTTGCTAGGATAAACATTGCATTATTGGGGGTATCGGGTTACCAACATGACTGAGTTGAGGTCCCGGGGAGGGTTGCGTGTAAAGGTTAATTGGAATTAGAGTAATTGGAAACAAGATTAGCCTAACTAGATCACGCTTTTGTCCCCCCCCCCCTCCCCAACATTGGGGTGGAGTCAATAGCACTGTGCATCTAGAGCTTGTGTGAACACAAGCTAGAAAGTAAAGTACTCGTCAGAATAACATGTTAGCAGTGATTGTGTTCACCTAAAATTGTAGTCTTTCACCGTCTTTACTCAGCTTTATGTAAACTGGCTACCAAAATGTGAAGAATTGCCGATTTTAGTAAGTCTATAAGAACCAAACAGCTGATTTTTAAGAGCAAGCATTAAAAATAAGGTTCGAATATTGATGTGGTTTCAATATTGCGGTAAAATTAGACACTCTGTCTTAAGTCTTTTAAGCTTTTAACTTTTTTCCTCAAAACTCGTTGCTTGTTACAAATCTTCCAAAAATGACGGCATATATATATCTGAACGTGTTTCTTTAAGACGTACCAATGTAGAAAGAGGGGCTTGAAGTGGCGCGTTTATAGTAAATGATCGAGGGTGACCCCAGGTCGAGTGCCGTTTCGGTTCGTATTATGTCAGATTTCGGTCCAAATTTGACCCCCGTGACCAGCAAAATAACCACTCAAAATACAGGAAGTAGCATTTCAGAGAGTCAAGATTTCCAAATATTCCCCGGGAAGCATGCCCACGAACCCCTGGGATTGTTATGTTTCATCAAACAAAATTTACATGACAGAAATAATTAGGATCGCTAGAACGCTGTAAGGTTGCTGAAAGAGAGAGCTTTATGGTGCTTTCCTTTATTTCTATTCAGGTTTGGAGAGTGGGTACAAGAGTCCGGGCGGGCGGCGGACAGGACTGGTGCTCCTGGCGGGAGGCTGTCTGGGCGCGGTGCTGGTGTGCGCCGTCCTCGTGCCGCTGGTCTACATCACCATGTCAGACCTGCAGCAGGAGGTAACACTGCTCAGCAACCTTGTGATGATAAGAATCTGACTGGATATCATTTCAAATTGCCTCTTCTGTGATCACGAAAGACAAGACCTGTTTAGAGAAGCCAATAAATCCCATGCTAATTTCTCCACATTTACAGACCTTTTAACATCCCAAAACCATCAAACAGTTCGGATAGATGTGGATCATTCATCTTCAACTCTCTCTGAAAAAAGAAGTCAAATCGACAGCTTAAATATAGTGTTTTGTGTTTAAAATGTAGGCTATAGACTATTCACCTGCTATTTTTATATCCATTCTCTTTTTTTTTTATTCTCATGTTAGGTCAAGTTGATTTGATTATACGACATCCGATCTCCCATTAATTTTCATCCGTTTGAAAAAATGGTTTTGACCATACTGTAAATTGTACAAAGCAGCAGCAAAATAACAATGTTTGCCGTAAATTACAAATTAAATATTGGAAAACCATACTAATGTCGTAGAATACCAAAATCAAAAGGAAAGAAGAAAAGAAAATATGACGGAATGAAAATGAGTCTGTTATTCGCATATACTCTGTGTGTTCAGTCATTTGTCCAACCGTTATCATTGCCATATATATTTCACAGCGAATGTAACTTTTTACCTTGCCAAACTTTTTTATTCAAACGCATCTGTTTTGGGGTTCGCGTGTAGAGGATGTCATCCATATAATCAAATCAACATGACCTTTACACTGTACATGTAATTAAGCTCACGGTAAGACCTAATGCCATTAACTTTCAATTGTAAAAGCTTTCAGCCAGACAACGTTAATAAAAGGACCAAAACAAGATCCCTGAACCTAACCCCAGGCAAAGCTCTCAACAAAAAAAAAACAACAAGTATGATGTTTTTAAAAAAAAACACAGGCGACGATTTTGTGTTTAACTGTTCCGTTCTTTATAAATCGTTTTTTTTCAAATACGTACACATATAATTCAGAAAGAATCCAGAATTTCTGTACAGTACGAGGAAAGCCGTCAGGGGTCCAAAATCAGTTAGACCCAGGTAAATTTATGTTGTGTTTCTAGCCCTTGAAAAATTAGAATCGCTAGATAGGGATTCACCTTTTTTATCTGTCTTTTGTTTTTTTTCATAGATCTTTATAATTAGTGATCCAACTAATACAGTTAATATAACAATGAAATGTATAAGTACACTGGTATCTTTAACACCACCCTAATTTCGCCCCTAGAGATATAATAGTGAAACGCCGTCTTGGGATTACCGTAAATTCCCGAAAGTACGCACCCCTTGTGCTTCTGTGCATGTAGCATGTATGTCTTAAAAACAGTTAGTTCTAGAAAATATCGTTTAAAAATAAATTTAGGCCGTGTACTATATACGTGATTGCATGATAACTGGATACAGTATTGTAGCGGGAAGCGTTTCGTGTTGGGGCTAGTTTTCATCGCTGGCTGCAGCCGATTTGCAAGACGTCACCACCGCATCGAAGGGTAAGGCAAGTGCGGCGAAACGCACAGATTTGGATCACGGAGAGTGTTGGTGATCAAGCAAGCAATGGTCAATAAAGATTTGTGAATATTTCAATAATGTCGATGAAGGTTAGACATCCAGGTAATACGATATGCCAAAAAACAGTTACTCAAGTTACTATCCAGTTGCTTGAGTAACTGTTTTTTGGCATATTTCAATAATGGTTTTATCGGTAACAAGGGTTATAATGTTGATGCACAAGTACGTAGCTTTGTTGTTCTTTACTTCTATACGAAATGCGCCGAACACTTTAATATGGCCCGCCCGGTCGAACCATAGAGAGCAACAATCATCGAGGCGAAGATCTGGGCGGAGTTAATGAATGAATGAATGAATAAAGACCTTTATTGTACACACATACCCATTACGGGTCACAAAAAGGATGGAATATAGATAACAAGGAAAATCGTAGATTTTGTACCTCCGGGTATTGAAATGTGTGTTGCAGAATGTTGGGTGCATGTTGGGACTGTTCTTTAAATTAGTGAATTCGCGCGAATACCATTTTTTCGAAAAGTTTCGAAATGTTTGTAATTGGCTAAATGATCTGTGAAATCACTAATCCCCCTAGCCGACTGGAGCCCAAAAATAGAAAGGACAGGGGGCATCCCGTGGCGAATCTGGCTGCCCGACCCTCAGCGACCAGCGATAATGTAAACAAACACCCGCTCCGGGCGCCAGCCGCCAATCGTCCGGTGCGCGTGTTACCCTTCTAACATGTAAGTAAGGCCATGTTGATTTGATTATATGGATGACATCCTCTGGGAACCCCAAAACTGATGCGCGCGTGCGAATAGTAAAATCTGAGCTTTTTATTGTATACTTTTATATGTTGTTTGTTATATACATGTAGTTGATGGTGTTGAATTTTATGTGTTAGATTTAGCCTTCCTGGTTGTGTTAACACAGGTCAGTATTTTCATCTGCAGCGCAGCCTATAACATGTACCCACGAACGGGCCGCCACGAACTTATGCCACAAGGAACTCGTAATGAAACTCAGAATGACAACCGGAGCCGTTAAATGGAATCAGACGTTAAAAATAACTGCTGAAGTACCTCCCCGCATGTGCAAGTCATCCTTATTGTCACTTCCTCCATTTTCCGCCGATTCTTCGTATAAATTGGGGAAGTAAAGGTCTTCATCCGCGGTATTTGTAAGTTAGAAGTCGTAATATACGCCGAAAACAACCAACACAAAGGTTGCGCAACAGTACGTTGACCCCTGACCCATTGGCTAACCAGGAAGTGCCGATTACGTGTCCTGTGAACGCGTACTAAAGTATCCCTCCAGCGGGTCCCACCAGGCACGATAATGAGACGTTGATTGACGGCACATGTGGTTCACATCTGAACAGTTTCAAAGAAAGAATTTATCGACAATGCTGACACCCCTCTGTGTGAAAGGTCAGATCAGTGGTCGCGACCTCAATCGTCCTTATACATGCAAAGGTCAAAAGCTGAGGCCCACTTTCACACTGAAAGGGGTGTCCATCGGCGGTCTAAACGCATCATTTTGACGCACTAAAACACACATACTAAAAAACCAAAACAACGTGCACCATCTACAGCCCAACAGCAAAACGTATACCAAGTCCCAGACATATCCGTCCACCCAAACGCGAGAAACGGGTGCGAACGCAATTTTCGTCTTCCCTCACAAAACCTCCGCGCTCGGGATATACATCCCTACCCGGAGGTAACAAATATGTTAATGCTACTGTGGGTGTAGAAGTGCTACCGGATAATCAAAGGAATTATATACACTTCAAATATGTATTAATTTGTACTCCGTAAAACCAAGGACATTATACACACATAATGTCCTTGGTAAAACTGAGTCTGTTCAGAGGAAAGAAATACTTCCTTCTCGGGGCCAAGGTTCTGGAAAGCTGTCCTAAACGATGCCACGACCCCCTCTTCGTTCTTCAGCTGTATGTGCACTTTGCAGGGGAAAAAGATCGGCGTGCACAAGACAACGGGCGCAGCATGATTCAAAGTTTATTTTATTTACGCCCTTATTCACACCGATCAAAAGAAACTGCGACAATTCGGTACGTGCAGGCCCGTGCACGTGGCGACACAGGCTGGCTTCCCGCTCTAGCTGTGGGTTCCCACGATGTGTTGCCAAGGGCAGCGGCACGTACACAGACCTACCGGCGGATCCCACCCACCGGGCGGCGGTAAGATTTTCAAAGACTACATTTTTAACTCCGCCCCTATCATTGTTGTGTGCCGAACAGTCGAGTACATCTAACTTGCATTTTCACGTCGTACTGACTGGTATAGCCCGCTACAAAGTAATTTCCTGTTGCATTTAACAAGATTTAAAAAGATTTGTGATACGAAATGAAATATTGATAACAATTTATGTTAACTGAACCTTTGTAACGGCATGGAGATAATCTTTGTTGAAGATTTCTGAGTTCAACGCAAGCCGGAAGTGCAATAGAACTGACCATCAGTCGAGGTACAGCTATTATGTTATCACCTGTTACGTTACGACGATCAAGAACGTTCACGGCTTGTGGACCATTTCAAATATTACCACTCATAAACCCTCTTATAATTTCATATGTACTTACGTGGGGTTTAAAATTATTTAAATTTTAGGCCGGAGTTCCACGAGATCGGCGCCGGCTGGCTGGGGAACGATCCCGTCGGCATGATGGAGCGACGGGCGTCGTCAAAACGATACAAAAATGTTACAAGCACAACACAAGGACAGACAGATTTCTACACCAGCGCTCTTTGTGCGATCCCCCAACCCACAGACTCTGGGAAACTCAAATTACTCTCATGATAGACAAGGTGCTCCAAGCGAGTATGCAAACATTGGGTCAAAATATAGCCAAACATTGGGTTGACTTTATTTGGAAAACACTCGGTTCCGACACCCTTCTGAACAGCCAAATCGTGGGAAGCGATTTCTACCGAAAATGACCGAAGTAAAACATGACGTAATGCTTGCAACAGCATGCGGTTGCTGATTGGTCAAATGTTTGTCAGAGTATTATGGGTTGCCGGTTGCTTGCAGGACCCGGAAGTTCCCAAGGATAGGGACTCAGAACGTTTTTTTTTCCAATCGTCCCGAAACGTAACCAAATCTACTTTCATTTCGACATCGGGACAGTGGTAACGAACACCTAATTTCTTATTTCCTACGAAACACCTTCGCTCTCACTGCGCTCAGACAGGCAAAGATGCTTATCTAACGTATACTAAGTAGCCTCCTTGGACAGGCGAAAAAGTAGGTCAATGGCTTGACCTTTTCACCCTTTTCACCCGATCTGTTTGCTGTGTCAGGGAACAGTTTTCTCATCTCAATATTACAATTAAAATAGTTAATGACATTATGTATTCACCAATGATGGTCCCAGACTATAGAACGCCCCTTAGCAACAATGTCAAAATGTTGATAGATGTAAGTTCCGACTTTAAAACGACCCAACTGGCGGCTAGAGTTTCAGAACGGGGCTGCGGAACACCAGTTGCTAGAACCCTCCGCGGCCGCACAGCTTTTGGTTCCCGCAGGAGCGCGCCGGGCACTTCCCACCGGCCGGAGCGCCGTGCACGATCTCCACTGGCCGGCGGCGCAGCACCGAGGAATTTACCGGGGAGCTCCGCTGGTATGGTCACCAGACTAGACAGGGGAAGCCCGCCGCGGCAGCCGGCTTGGTCAGCGTGGATTTTTACTTGGAACAAAATAGGCAAGGTCTAAACTTTTCTAAAATCTAAAGCCTGGATACCCCCAGCCGTAGAGGTATAGAGGAACCTACGAAGGACAGGTTGAAGAAAGGTATGTTAACATTACTTTTAATGTTACTTCCTAATGTTGTAATGTGCCAGAATCGTATCAGTCTAAATTTTGCAATCACAGCCGTGTTTTTGCAGTACCACATGTCTGTTAGTTATTGTACTGTACACTGAGGATCTTGTTGGATCGTAATATCCTCAACCTGGGCGGGCTGAGCACTCATCACTGTATACGTAGAGAAATTATCGGGAAGTTTGCCATTGTCTGGCTACCAGGCTACTACTAGTATTTTGGCCGACAATCGCCCGTTTGTTTGTATTTCATGGCAGTTCCTTCACTTAGTCGCTATTTTCTTGTGTACGAGACTAGTATGTACTTTGTGTTCTGTATATGTATATTATGTATGTGTAGTAAGTTCCTCCATTTCTGCTCGAAATTCTTTGTATCTTTCAAGCAGACTTTTTCGAGATTTCTACAATTTTTTCTATGTTATTCTGGTGTTCTTGGATCTCGCTGTGTTGTCGTCCGCCAGGTATTTCCTTATTGTGGATCTGAATGGGTCATCACTATATGTGTGACGCTATTTACGTACAGTTTTCGACAAAGATTCAGACCTATAATGCCAAAGAAGAACAGTTCTACTAACCTTGGAAAAACTGAGCCTCAGAGTAGAGAACTAGAATAAATTTTTCGCCTTCGATGAGGCGCGCCTGTTATCACTCGCAGTGGTTTGGGGAAATTTTGGTGAGTTCGCTTTTACGATAAGAATTACAAATTATTGTTTACGGATTCGATGCCCGCGCAGAATATCGATCATAGTCAGCTTAACTTGAACGTTTTATTTGTGTGATGTTCGCAAAGTACTTGGTTGTGTCTTCAAAGTTCCGGTGTCAGAATTTGGGTGTTGTTATATCGATACATCATTGTTGATCACTGAGTTAGAGAAAGTTTAAAGTTGCTTGTTGGCTGGTTACAACACGCGTGGAGAGAAGCTGGAATTTTAGTTTACGCATTGAAAATGTGTGCCACATGGTTACCGCATTCTCCCACGGCAGAGCTATCCCGCGGCAAATACGCCTTGGGATTACTGGTAAGGGAGCACCCCTGGCGTGGGAGGATGGGTTACCGCCACATGACGTCAAGTTCCATCGGGATCAAGTTTGTCGGCCCTACTTGATATTCTCCCCTTTCCGACAAAACCCTTCTGTTCAGATTAGTGGCTTAGGGATATTTTGCAGGCCCAGCCATACTCTGCTGAAATGCCAGATCTTTCCAGCTGGCCTTTCTAATCATTGTCGTCCTGTAACTGACCCGGTAAAATACCCCTGCATGAAATACCTCTGGGCGGGCGGGCAGTGCTGATAGCACCACCGTGAGATACCGGAAGCATGCGATGGTCTGGCTGCCAGGCTATGTTAAAGTAATTTAGCATTCTTGGAGTTTATATTCGTCTGTTAGTATAATACCTGATGAATTTATTTTTGGAAATTTGTACTGTGAAGATTCTAACACCCGTTTTCCTGACTTCATTCATCTTGTTCTATGTGTGGTTTGTTCCGTCCATTTTGCTTACAGAATTTGGTCAGTATATCATTACAGATCCGACTGGTCTTTATCAGGTATCGGCGATCAGTGTTTTAGCAAGGAGGAATTTAATCTCCTTGGTTTTAGTGAATTATTTTTAATAGCTGCTCGTTTTTAGCGGCTGGTTTTTTGGTTTATGTAAAGTTTGAGCCACCTGACGCCATGTTCCGCCGGGGTTTTCCGGCCTTACCCCAATTCTCTCCGTCAAGGCTCTTCTGTCCAGTAACCCCGGGCGTTGGATTTTCTTGTCTTTCCAGTAAACCTCAGACATGCAGCGAGGGATACCCTACTGTTCTACACTGGACACCGGTGCCGGCATATATGCCCTGTCTGCGCTAAACTGCCCGCACCTGCCAACAACGCAGGGTTCCGAACAGTGGAGACCATCTCAGTGCACGGAGAAGGTTTCAGTACGTTGTATACTCATCTCTAGGTCAACGTCATTTTTTTTTACTATTCACACAATTACAACTTGATATTGATCCGCGTATTCTTTGCATTACATGTTGCTGACATCCCACCATAATATTGTCCAAGTTTCACATCCGTGGTCACGCTGAATGCTGTCGAACTATGCTGAATAACACAACCCTGGAATGCAACAAACTTCGCTAATAACCTGTTCTACGCTGTTTCTTTCAGCTCTACATGGCGACAAACACAACAGTTACTCAAGAATACAATTAAGAAGTGGAACAAAATACCAGGTGAGTGCCTGACCATCCTTATTTCATGCAGTATTGTACATATAATAATCACGATGGTTAGGCAATGTTCGCATATCTATAGTACTTCTTTCATGAAAAGCTGTGTGTTTTGAAACACGGTACCATGTTTACTATGATGTCATTGCTGGGAAAACAATGTAGCCTGGGTGCCAGGCCCCTGTGCCACCATAGTCAATAAAGTCAGGGAAATCTCACGCCTGGAACACAGAATTTGCAGCCATTTGGGGTCTAATTGAAATTGAAGAAGGAAGCCAGCTCCGAAACTGTGGCGTGTTTGGCAGTATAGAGGCCCGATCGAGAGTCTCAGAAAAAAGCACTTTCTTTATTCCAAGCAAGGAGTTAAGCTCCTTGTTCTAAGTGCTAGGGTCTGGCACACAGGCTATTCATAATGTAATTATATATACTACCTGGCAACAGAAATATCATACGGCATGTATACTTCATGATGTCGCAAATTTCATTGCCAGAAAAGGGTGTATTTATGTGTCCGCTTCATTGCATTCTGTAAAATTAATTGACTCACATGCTTTGCATATTTACATTTATGTGTAAAACTTGACCACAAATATTGTTAATTTAAGTTAATAATAGCTGGCCAAAGTTGGCATAGATTCATTTATGCTCTTTTCTCTCTTTATACCCACAGGTAAACTTCACCATGTCCACCCTGAGATGCAGACTACAGCAGGAATTCACTGGCCAGCACGAAACCAAGTCGTGGAAGGATTGGGGTGTGCATTCATGTTTTTCACGCAAGAAAATTGAAAAGCAAGCATTGAATGCAACAGCATCGTGAAAGCAAAGAAAAATAAAAAATAAAAAAAAGCAAGACTGACACAAACATACATGATAGAAAACACAGAAGTGAATAAAATTCCTTACACAAGACATCACTATTACACACAGTAAAGTTATAAAAAAAACGACCAGCATCATATAATTGAAACTAAAAACATAATTGAAGCATTATAAGCTTGAATGTTGCTCCTTGTTCTTTCTTATGAGCAAGAAATTTTGTTCTCTCTTGATAGAAGAAAACATATTTGAAATATCAATAAAGACAATCATTAATATTCTGTGTGCAAAAAGCCACAGTTTGCCCGAAAATATGCCTTTTGCATGCATAATAACATATGCCTTTCCTGCTGGGTACGAAGACCACAAGGCCGGAGGCTACCTCAAAACCAATTCCCCAGGGAATGCATTCGTAAAATTTTCTAAATTCTTTCAGCTTGATCGTAATATACTGTAAAAATGCCTCCGCCCCTGAGGCGTCGCCAAAAAATGCAATGGGAAAGTGAGAAGAAATGTTCCCATGTACATTATCAGTGATAATTGCGCTGAGAAGTGGTGTATTGTCTACTTAACCAGTGGTGTAGCAAGCCTAAAATACTCTGCTATCTCAGTTTTATCATGGGTTTTAGGCCCCTGCTCCGCGGACCCAATATTGGCCAATAATAGCGATCTCCGAGCGCGCCTACGTCCTACTTCCGGGAGTATCTCCCGACACCCCTTGCGCGATCCAGTATTTCCCGTCACCCTTTGCGCTAACTTTCGCCGTAGTTCAAAAATTTTACTCGTCCCTCGCTCGGCCTTCGGCCTCGCTCGGGACTCGCTGATCGGCTTCGCCGAAGGCACCCGCCCGTTTCGGGTATCTTCGGGACCGGCTCGCTTGAATCGCGGCATGATCGCTCGCATTTCGACAGGAAAGACGGTAATTGCGAGGCCTTCCGCCTATGGTTTTATTTGACGTAACATTATGTCAAGTATCGAATTTTGAAATCTAGTTCCTCTGAGTCTAAAACACATATTGAGCTGTGCATTTTGTTAGTAGACTAAGCTTAGTTTATAACATCTCTTTCTATACAACACCAATTTTGTCTACTAGAAATATGATGGGTTGTACAAAATTTTTGTCAGTCATGAGCAGCAAAACTCCGTCAAATGACGGGGAGACGGACACTGGCTAGAACACTGCTACCTACTTCAGTCGTTCATACCAATGTCTTTACATCGTACAACAGATTACCGGTTCTGCGCAGACCGCCTTAGCTGGTACAGAGGACCGACAGAACGGCATTTCTGCGGGCGGGGCACCTCGAGAGCGGAGAGCGCCCGACGCGACGCCGCCAAACCATGTCGTGTACGTGCGGTGGGGGAGGGAGGACTGTGGCGAAAAACGCAAAGAATGTCTACTCCGGTAGGTCAAACAAAGGACCCAAGTTATTTACTATACATAACACTACATAAACAAATGTCAGACCCTCATATTTTAGTGGAAATTGTGTAGATTGGAGAATTATTGACACTATGTTAACCCTATTCAGACGGGGGGAGGGGGGCTTTTGAGGCCTGCGCCAACTTTTATCTTAGATAGCGCCTGTACGGCTTGCACTAGAACCATCATATTTGGTCTCTTTTCCTAAAATGTATCTGGGAACAATTATATATTATAACTGAGATAAGTTAATGAATTTTCGTGTTGCCATGGCAATGGGTCACTGACAGACAGTTTTTGAAATTTCAATAATTTTGGTTTAAACCTTAAAATTATCTGGGTTTTCTACTAAATTACACTTACTTTCTAACATCAATGACATGTTATACAATTATATATAATTTCTATAATTCAACGATTTTTTAAGGTTTCACAAAAATCACAAATTACGTCATAATGACACCATATGACGTCAAAATTACACGAAAGTTGTTGTTATGAATTGATTTTATTACTACATCATTTTCTAAAAAAATGTGGCCTTACGATAAGTGGTTCTTGAGTTACAGACTGCTGGCCTCAAAAGCCCCCCCGCCCCGTCCCAGCATACCAAAAAAGCCCGGTCTGAATAGGGCTAAAATCTGTCTGTGTTTGGACACAGTGTCAACGATTAGCCGAAAGCGAGGGACGTCATGTGAACGGCATGTCAGGGACAGGACCGTGGACCTATGTTTTTCTTCAAACACAACAGTCTGACTATTACGCCACACGATGCCACTACTTACTACTAGTATAGATTATTTTATGATATCATGTCACTCATTAGTCAACTCACACTGCTGTAAACACAGATTCTAAACTTCTCCCGGGATATCATCGACAATGGTTCAGCAATCCATCCGGCCTTTTCATAGGCAGTTTAAATAAATATATAGCATTTTGCAGACTGACACATTTTAAACATTGCAGGAAAAATGAATCAACTTGTAGTTTTGCAGACTGAAAAAAACAGGCTAGGGATTCAATGGTCTCGACCTATCTGGCTATGGCGACAGCTTTGCCAACAGCTTGATGCATTTTTCATGTAAAATGTTTGCCAACATGCAATTGTGCGTATGCTATAGGTTACTAATCTGAAAGCGAGTTTTGATATGCATCTCTACAATATATATGATGTAAATTATTAGGTTGAGAAGGTTATAGTATATAGGTCTGTGTATTTACATAAATTCCATAATGCAGAAGAAAATTTTGACATTCTTGAATTTTGCTAAAAAAGCTATTTCTACCCATAATAGGTGTTGTTGGCGGTGGATGGCACGCCCACACAGGAGGGGGAAGTGACTACCAGTGCCTCCCCCTGGAAGATGTGGAGTGGAACAACCCAGTGGCTGGTAATCAGCACGGAAGCTACATGTACGGGGCAGAGTACCATGTTAACAGTGCTGAGTACTTCTCCACTGACAACATGGGGCACATCACCAACCCTTTTGACTACGACGTCCCCTGCTCGGTGTGCCTCGTGTCCGGTCGGTCTGCACACGTCATGATCCCCGCCCGCCTGTCCTGTCCTCGGGGGTGGAGTAAGGAGTACAGCGGCTACCTGATGTCGGAACACCACACCTACTACAACAACAAGAACTTCATCTGTGTGGACGGAGCTCCAGAGCTCAGGCAAGGTTCATCTGCCGACCTAAACGGAGCCCTGCTGTTGCTGGTGGAGGCGCAGTGTGGCTCTCTTCCCTGTCCGCCTTACATCAGCGGTTACGAGCTCACCTGTGTGGTCTGCACCTTGTAAACTGATGTTTGCTCAACTGGACAACAACGTCCGCATATTTCTCTTTTTCACTGCCTGACTTTGTAAGGCCTTGAAAAAATGTTATGTTTTTAATTTTTTTAAAGATTTCGGCTATATTAATCCAACAAACACAATTAAACAATGTAAAACTTACATCCATCAGATTAGGGCTGTCTCTAAGACCTGTCCTTCAATTTGCTTGTGGCAAAGGGACGTACTTTTCACCTTATTCACCAGTTTCCTATCCCCAGAATGCAATGCGAAAATACGGGGGTAACCCTCATTTGCATAGGACTGGAAGGCATCGGATTCAATATTTCAATTTATTCAATCCAACAAAATCATACAAAAGCAGGGAATGCTAATGCACCCCTGAATTATGTAATTGATTTTTACAACTGGTTAAAAAACAAGATAGGACAGATACACAGAAACACACTATATACAAATATGTACAAACACCATTCACTCTACAACAGGAAATAGCAGGAAATACAACAGGAAATAGCAGACAGATTGATCCTGTTGACGATAAACAGCTTGCTTTTCACTGTGTTTTGAGGTGTCGGGGCATTTTATGCTCAACATTTATTAAATTACTATGGGTTGAATCTGAAAACAAATAGAGAATGATTTTTTTTAATATGTGGTTTTTAACGTTATAGTGGTAACGCTATACTGATGTTCCATGTTGAAAAGGACACTAAAACTTCATTGTCTATTTGTTGTCAGGTTCGACCCATAGTAATTTAATTAATGTTGAGCATAAAATGCCCCGACATCTCAAAACACAGTGAAAAACAAGCTGTTTAACGTCAACAGGATCATCCCGATGCCTTCCAGCCTAATGCAAATGAGGGTTACCCCGTATTTTCGCATTGCATTCTGGGGACGGGAAACTGGTGAATTTACTCAATAATAAGATGTTTCTGAAAACTTTTTAAGTAACATTTCTACAATCATTTTTTGTAAGCCTAAGTTCGTTGTTCTGTGTTTTATGTAATACAGGTGATATAGATGATGTGCTTTTTGTGTACTCAAGTAATTTAACGGAATTAATCAACTGCATACTTTTCACACATACGTACATGTAAGGCCACACCAATTTAATTTGTTGTTTCTCGGATACGCCCTATCCATTTTTTCTGATTTGAAAAAAATTCTTTGGTTCTAAATCAATGATTCAATTACATTCAATTCTGTCGTGTATATATAAGCATAAACAATCAAGTTTGATTCAAAGCCACTAACTACTGCTTGTCACAAATACACATCCATTTTACTCTGAACAAATTGCGTCACACATAATGCAAAAAAAATGCAAAAAAAAATTTGAGAGATGCGCACCAGGGTTTTGTGTTTTGCACTGATGCACTAAAGCTGTGGGCATGGGGACGCCAAAAGTCCTTTGTTTTTTCACTGATGTTATATGTTTGCAAATAAACAATTATTGTTGGCACCTTTCCTATGTGTTGTGCTTATTTAAAATCCATTTTTCTACGTCATTTAAGACGACCATTCGTCTTATGGTATGTTATGATAATATGTTATCTTTATTTCAGGTCTTGTATTTATAGCAGATTTCTTTATTTGATGTTTGTCTCCATGTCTATATTTGTGGGTTATCTAATACCGGTTAGCCTGATTAATCGCGCTCCTGGCGGCCGGTCGCCCCCTCTTTCATGTGGTGGGGGTCAGTAACCTCCGGCCGAGAGCTTGTGTAACACAGGCTATGATATATATACCAGTCACCACTGCCTTCATAACCTGTTTATTGATTTGTTGCCATTGCCAACAAAGAAAGAAAGAAAGAAAGATTCTTCTTATGCAAAAAGCATGGCGGGAAGAAAGAAATAACGCACCAAAATTTCCACCCAATAGACTGCCCCATTAATAGACCCAGTGTCACGTCTAGTGGTAGCATTTACTAATTTGATAAGTCGCACTTTGGCAAAAGCGTGGTTTATCTGAAGAACATTTACCTCTAAAAAGAGTTAGCCTTCAAGGATTTGAGACAGGCAGAATTCATACACAATGAATACGTTCTTATGTATTGATGTTTTATTGTAAAACAATCTGATTGTGATAAATTATTATACCCTCCCAGAAAACAGCATGTACATGTACATACATTCAATACACGCCTAACAAAACTTACAAGTACAGAACATCATACTGTTCACCACTTCAAAGGAACAAGTGCAGATAGCGTTTATCTTTGGGAGAAAAGAGGCCAAGATCAATATTCATAAGGACTTTCTCTACTTATATATTTAAATATTAATTTTACATGTCGTCGTTATTAATACGTATCACTATATCCCTCACGAATAACAGATACACTACATCGTCAAACATATTTACTGCCAACGTAGGAATCTAGTCTATACGAGACAGAGCTCTCTCTCTCTGTATTTTTGCGTGTGTGCGCGCACGCGATCGTGCATGTATATGTGTGTGAATGTGCGCGTGAGTGCGTGTATGTGTGTGTGTGTACATGTGTGTGTATGTGTGCATGTGTGTGCGTGTATGTCTTTATGTATGTATGTGTGTGTGTGCATGTGTGTGTGTGTGTGTGTGTTTGTGCATGGTTGCATATGTATTGTGTGTGTGCACGTGTGTGCATATGCGTGTGCACGCGTTCGTGTGTGTGTGTGTGTGTGTGTGTGTGTGTGTGTGTGTGTGTGTGTGTGTGAAGTTAGAAAGATATGCCTCTGACGTATAAATCTAGTACAAAAAGGCACCATAATAAATATACTATAGATATACAACAAACCGACGTATTTACATTAATTTACATCAAATATTTACATTAAAGAAGTGGTGGCCTTGTCGCCGACAGATGGGAGGATGATGATGATTCACATCAATATGCTATAGTGTGTTGCATACCATTTTTAATTCATATTCCAGGGGGGATACGTGTGGAAATTAAGTTTAATCTAGCCTCTGTGGGATCTGCTTTGGATCACAAGTGTGAATAAAAGTAAGTGTGCTTTCTTATGTAGTACATAATATGGGGCTTGTACTGGTATAGAAAACCTACATTTTTAATGTTACAGAGTAAATTTAGCCTAGATTATCAGTCAGTCAACATATAAAGAATGTTATTTGGTGATATGGCCAGGGATAGCTCTTCACTATAGCTTTACTAGCTAGCTGGGTAGCTCAGGCTATTGTTGTTGAAGTAATAAATAGAAATATATAAAAATGACCTGTAAACTAGAAAGGGCAAATGCATAATGTTTACCTTCGCACATGGTCTTCTCTGTTAATTCGTACTCACATTCATATATACATAATATATATGTCGGACAGGAGTCTAAACCCCTTCTGCTATAAAATTGCAACATGATGTACTAACCCAATACCAGATACCATGGTGACAGACGTCTGGTTCAGGTCATTGACCTTATTTGGTTGGAGAAGAAGGTGAAACAGAGCAAAACAATATGTTTTACTTGGGAAAACATTAAAACAACTAAATACTTTGGCGGCGAGAACGTCCTTTGTATGTCATCTCCATCCGTGAACTAGATACATTTACGCTAAAAGTTTTTGACCTGTGAATTTGGACTTCTTTTTTCGTCATCCAAGCATCATCCTTTGCCCTTCCAATGGGCATGTTGGCATACTGTGGGCATGAAATGTTTTGGTACCTTTTGTACTTTAATGGCTGAAGTTTAAATGCAGTCTTGTACATAACGTTAGCCTGCTCTCTGGTAGCCCTAGGATGGACAGTAGAAGCATTGCTATAGAACATCATTGCCCTCTCTCTTGGAATGAGACCTCTTTGCATTCTGCCATGTCTACCCAGCAAAGCGATATCTCGAGCTCTACCCTTAGCTGATGTAGGTGTTCCGTAAGATGGGACGCCTGTATTTCTTGCACTAACTCGATAATTCTGTGCAACCGCTGCAATTCTAGGGTCTATACCATACGAGGAAGGCTTATATCGTAACCAGTTTACTGTAGGAAGGGCCGCCTCAGTGGATGAAGTATTGAAAGGAAAATTGTCTACATCGTCGTCCTGACCAGACGACAGTGGCACCTGCAGTGCCAGTGGGAACGACAGAGGGCGCCCTGTGGTGTTTTCGTAGTTGTAGTACTCATCTCCGATTTCCCAGTAGTGATGCAGTGATGCTGGCCGCAGGTTGTAGTAATTGAAGTAGTCGTCAGGAATCTCCCAGTAGGTATTGGAAGTCCCATGTGGTGAAGTGTCAGCGTTTTCGTACTTGTAGAAGTACTCGTCCGGAATTTCGTTGTAATGTTGCTCGTCACCTGAATATGAAGCTCCCTGAGGAACACTACCAGTTGCTCTATCGGGACCTGATGTACCTTGGCTGATACTGACAGTTACAGCATGGCTGCTGGGCCCACTTATTACCCAGTGATTCAGGGAGGCAATGCTGAGAGGAGACCCTACAGAGACATGGGCAACCTGTGCGGCTTGGTTACCCCGTGAACGGGCAACCTGTGCAGCTTGGTTGTCCCGTAAACAGTAGCCCTTCTTCCTGGCCAACAATAGACATGCTGGAAGCATTCCTACCAGAGTAACCCCTACCACAGCTAACAGCGTGACGTGACCTGCATGTAGGGATGGCCTCCTGCCCGGCTGTATCGGTACAGTTCGAGCTGTGTAAAGAATCGTCTGATTCTCGATGTCGGGATTTCTTGTGACTGCTGAAAACACCTTTTGTTCTGAACAGAGGTTACCTACAGGCGTGTCTGACAGGGGCGAAGTGAATACATGTTGGTATGTCTTCCCCCAGGAAGTGTCGACAAAACATGTCACATTCTTCGGCTTTTCACGGCCAAAGCCAGCTGTGACGTTTGTACTGTAACTATCAGCATAATTTCCGTGTCCACCAGCTGTTACATCATACAGAACGACTGCAAAGCTTTGGAGTTTGTGGGACGATTTGTCCACACAAATAGGAACGATTCGCAGAGTAGCGTCCTGACCAAAAGCGACGTTTACGCTACCTGCGTCTTTCCAGGCATGTTTGCAAAAGTCTGTGAAGTTGTCAACTTGTTTGTCTGATTGTGTGTTGATGAATATCATCACGAATGGCAGGTCATATTCTATTTTTCTTTCCGTCGGTATGTTCAGAGAGGCGCACCGACCCATCGCCCGAGCTATAGCTAGCGGTGGGATGAAGTCGTGTTCCATTTGAATGTGATACATGTATCTCATTTTATAGACTTGAGTAATACAGAAAAGTACTTCATTAACCGTCACACTAATACGCTGTCCAGAATAACGAGATTGCCTGTAATGAAAACCCCATTTGATCTCCAAAGAGTCACCAAAAGAACGTAGTTGATTTCCACTAACTTTAAGGGTTTGTAGTCTTTGGAGTCCATAAACAGTTTCGCGAGGCAGTTGATCCAATGCATTATCACTCATGTCCAGTTCTCTCAGCTTTGAGAGAGACTTGAATGCCTCTGGATGGATGCTTTGGATGAAATTTGATTTCAAAGATAGATGGCCCAGATTCTCTAGTTTGTAAAACCAAGATGGCCCAATGGTTTGCAATGAGTTACTGTCGAGTAACAATACAGTCAGGGCAGTAAGTTTTTGGAAGCAGTTTGAATCTATGCTGCTGATGTTGTTGTGTGATAGCGACAGACTAATGAAAATTTTCGGGAACTTCAAGGTGTTAAACCAGTTTTGCTTGACGTGGGTCAAGTTGTTGAATTCAAGGTTTAAATTCTTCAATCGAGTAAACGCAGGCAAAGTGGACTCTTCTATATCTGTGATTCCGCACTCAACCAGAGCAAGTGAATCTACTTTTGACTGCTGAGGGGGTCGTATTTTATGAAGAGAGAGTAGCCCAAATGACAAGCCTCTGACTGCTACATGCATGGTATTAGGAAAGCATGTTATGTGTGCTTGAGAGTCTATCATATCATGGGGCTGTTGTTGCGTGGAGCAGAGGATACAAGTGATATACAAAAAGGCTCGATCTGGCCCGAACTTATTAAATGGCCTGCTGGCTACCAATCTAGTATTGGGGACGCAAGCTGACCATGATGTTGTGGTATTACACCCGGGAAAACATCGCGGGTCTAAACTTTCAGATACCACATTGAACATAAGGACAATTACAATCTGCTGTACTACTTTCTGCATCGTAACAGGTTGTTTTTTGGATAAGATTTAAGAATCAAAGAATTTGGTTAAACTTTATCTGTGGTTTTAAAGATAACACTGGAACAACTGGAATGATGTCTTGCTGATTCTGGTGCGATGCTGCTATTGTCTGTTGTCTTCCCTGAAAACAAAACGTGTGAATAACATCATTTGTCACTTCGTTGTCAACTGATGTGCCATTTTCTCAGCAAACAAAAAATAATAACTCAGCATTTCCAACGTTTTGCAGCACATTCTTTCGTACATGACATATTTTCACAGTAAACAACAACTATCGGGGTCATATAGTTATTCAAACATATCTACATAGTCTATCATCCATATTCATTGCAGATGTGCAAAACTATGTCGTCTATTATTTATGACTACCCACAGTCTCTTTCTAGCTAGGCCCTTCCAAAATCAATTCAGGAAAACACCAAGAGCTCTTCCTGTTTTCTGCTTGAATCCCTCAGAATCCTGAAAATGTTTTACCGAAAAGCTTTTTTTTCTTTTTGGAGTAAAGTAATTTCTACTTCAACGAGGCGAGTTACCACACAGACCATATGCACCTCGTACCTAGCATGAATCCACCACAATTTGAAAAAATAGGGGTTCGTCCGCGTGCAAGTAGATCAAAGTTTACAGTCCGGTCTTACGCAGCTCGTACTTGTACGTGTTTAGGGTACATCTGGTTTACCGTTTACACAAAACAAAACTTTACTCACTGATACTCTGACCCTCCTCTCTATTGTGTCCTTCTTGCAAGTCGTGCAGGCAAACAGCGTCTGTGGCTTGAAGCACTCGCTTTTCTATCGGAGTCACGTATATAGCTGCGGATGCAGATACCAAATTATTTACCTTGTATTCCCTTATTTGTGACAATCTTTAACTTCGACTCTTGCTAAACACAACTGTACCTAACTTCAATAGAATGTACAATGCCTTATTTTTTCAGAGGTGTCGCCAGTTCATTTTACTATTTACTCTAAAACAGAGGGACCCTGGGTAGAGAAAAGCAGTTGAAACCTTAAGACGTCAACGTCATCCAGAACCATATTATTTTGTTCTATGCCTGAATGGTTAGGATCAGGCATGGTTCTGGATAGTATCCTAGTATGCAATAACGTAGATTTGTCCCAGGCACGGTTCTAGATATACTAGGACTATCCAGAACCTCCAGAGATAAAGAAGTTAGGTGAAGGCATTCTTATAGTCTTTTTGAGACCATAAGGGCATAGGGGTTGCTAAATTTGGAAAATCGGAAGGCTGAGCCCATCCCTCTTATTCTTCTGCCTTTTACCTCCCCAACCTAAGTCAGGTACGCATTTTACACCAGGGCGAATTTTTAAGTGCTTTTCCCAAACTGTAGCCAGAAATCGGTCATTTGACACCAACTTGATGCAACCATCTATATAAATATTGCCCAATGAATGCAATGGAAAATGAAACACATTTTGTTAGCCAGTGTCCTCACTATGAGACCTACAGAAACAGATTATTTCAGACAGTTACAACAATTTCTCCTTCCTTTCGTCATCAAAAGACTACATTTCTACTGAGATCATAAAGCCCACTAATTATGCAGAAAGTGGGACTATTCATTATCCACTGCCTTCAAAGAAGAAGTCGAACCCCATAATAGCTAGCGTAGTTACTGTAGTAGTTTTTTCAAGACAGTTGTTGCCTGTCTTCTATAACTGTATTGCAATGAGTAGTATACTTGATTGTAAAAGCCTTCGGGCATGATTTTGCAAATAAAGTTTCACTATATTATATGAGTCTAGATAAAAAATTTTTTAGTCCGTGAAGCTAGAACGAAATCGCAAAACTCATACCTTCCCGCAGCACGAGAAACCGGCTTCCTCCGTCGCTATGTCTGTCCACCCTGTCTGTGGCCGGGCTACATGCGGTATGCGTGGTATTTACCTGACCAGGTGGTTGATGAAATTCCATCGTGAGTTTAATCTGCTGCCACCGTACTGTCATCATCTGTGTCATCTGCTTTAAATGCATTGTCTGTGGATATGTCTTTTTTTTTAATCAATGGATGCACCATGTGTCCTATGTCAGCGGTATAGACGACTATTCAATCTCTTAAGATGCTACCATGTTTACGCAAAGTCATGAAAGAAATGTCTTATTTCATGCCATCTTACAGTAAACATTTTATAACAAGTTAAACGCAAAGGAACTGACATTGTATTCAATTTTTATCATTTCTTTCGAAAATGTCACAATTATTCTAAATGAAGCATGCATCGGTACAGACATGTTAGTTACAGTATAACTTCTGATTGTATCTTTTTTAGATATTACATCGCCAGTTACACCGCTGAATATTACCCCCCTCCCCCCAACAATCAACATAGCTACAATAAAAACATCTCTGCATCGATGAATAATAATCTGGTCGTTGTTGTATATTTCTGGTCGTCCCTTATCTCAGTTGCACCAAGCCATATTTGTCAAGACATTAAAAATCCTATCTAAAGAGCCCGTAAGTGTAGTGTGATGTGTAATTTTCTTCAAGTCAGCCTCTTAAATGGTCACTTTGATACAGGTTTGGCTGATATGCATTCAGGAGAAGGGGCAAAAAACATTACTATGTTCTGTGTACAAACAGCGACAGCTGTACGCTGTATTCGCTTCGCAAATTCCTTGGATACAGAAAAAGGCTTCTTGCACCCCCTGCATGGGCATGTGAGAGGTTCTGTCCTCGCCATTTCAGATGTGACCCCCGTACACACAGCCTTAGGCACTTAACCCATACACTTATCGGGAAGAGTTGAGTGACATGTCACTCAGGCTGAATACGCGAGCAAAGCTAGTTATTGAAAATGCCTCCCATCCCAAAAACACAATTAATTTTGTTTTCTAGGTCTGTATCTTTACACGAAGACCATTTTGATGAATTGTCTTTAAATTTGCATGTTGGTAATTTAAGAGAGTATCAAAACACAGCAAATATGTCATATGTCATATTGAGACTAACGACAGCCCTGGACAAGAAAAGTTGACCAGGATAACTAGTTGCCTACCCGGTAACGCCAATGCAGCTGACAGACAGTGGTACAGACCCCACAGTAGCACCAAATACTATTTGGTCGGCGATTTGTTCCCCATTCTGCCGGAGGGCGGCTGGCCAACACGTTACAGGGATTCCTCGCACGAAAATGTGTGCCAGCCAAAAGCTCACATCCACTGCCACGATAGATGAAACATGAAGGCACCCGCAAAGTAGGCTAATAGTACTTGACAGTATACCGCCAGTTTTGCTGATTAACTGTAGTTGAGGATATTCGCTGCCAACTTCCGCCGGGTCTAGACGAGTGGTATTTTGATCTACAGTTTTATGCGTGTCTTGTTACAGTCACCTGGTGGAGACTTCATTAAATATTTGTTGTTGTTTTTCTATCTTATGTCAAATATACATCTTTTACAACGCACAGACATATTGACCTGACACAAGTAGCTGGTCATTTTTGTCAGCTACTCTTCCTGTGGTCCTTGTAGATCCTTGTATTGAACCTGGCTGATTGGTGTAGGTTAAGTTAAAAGGTGGTACCCACTCACGTTGCTATATGCGTGTCTCGTGACAACCAGCTGGTATAGACATAATTAAATATTCGTTGTTCTTTTTCTTACTCGTCTGTCAGAATTCTGTGTCCTTTGCTATTTAGTCACCCATAATCTGTTTTACCTGCCACTTTGGCCAAACATTTGCCAATCATTTTTTTTTACTCTATGACGCTTTAGAATACAGCAAAAATCTTCAGAATAATTCCCCCGGGGGAATGGATTCTTCGGTAAATGATGTACCAGCAAGAGAATGTAGCAAATATAATTTTGATGACGTTCCCGCGCATTCCTCTGGGTTGGTGCCCATCTGTCAGTAGTAAAACAATGTATGCACAAAGACCGAGTAGTACATGATTACTTTGGCACTGCGCACCGATGTGCCGGTGTAGGCCCAGTACATTGGGATGCCAGCTACATTTCCACCCGTAAAGACGACCATGGCGACCGGCTTGGTCCTTCTCATGTGCCTGCTGTGCATAGGCCATGCCTTCCCAAGCATTGCCGGCTCAGACGAAGAAGAATGCCCCTCCCCAGCCTTCGCTTGCAAAACGACCGACGACTGTGTCGGTTTGTCAGATAGGTGTGACGGTTATGCAGACTGTCCCGACGGCTCGGATGAGGAAAACTGCACAGCTTGTCCCTTGCCAAACTCTTTCAAGTGCGGAAGCGGAGAATGTATCCCCCAAGACTGGAAGTGCGACGGTTTAGCAACCTGTACTGATAGGTCAGATGAGGAATTTTGCAGCTTGGGCCTGTGTCCTTTGTTCGGCTCTTTCATGTGTGGAAGCGGAGAATGTATCCCCCAAGACTGGCAGTGCGACGGTTTAGTAACCTGTACTGATGGCTCAGATGAGGACAACTGCACCGTGTGTCCCTTGCCTAACTACCTCAAGTGTGGAAGTGGAGAATGTTTTCATCCACTGCACCAATGCGACGGTCAAGAATTTTGTACCGACGGTTCAGACGAAGACGATTGTATCAACAAAGATTGTTACAACCCGGACGATCTCAAGTGTGACAGTGGGCAGTGTATCCGTCCAGGGTGGCAATGCGACGGTATTGAAAACTGCTACGACGGTTCAGACGAAGAAGACTGCATAAACAAAGAATGTTACAACCCTGACGATTTTAAATGTGACAGTGGAGCATGTATCCGTTCAGGGTGGCAATGCGACGGTAATGAAAACTGCCATGACGGTTCAGACGAGGAAAATTGCACAAACATAGAATGTTACAACCCTGACGATGTCAAGTGTGACAATGGAGAATGCATTCGTCCATGGTTGCAATGCGACGGTCTTGTGAATTGCCAGGACGGTTCAGATGAAAAATATTGCCTGAATAAAGAGTGTGACAACCCTGACGATTTCAAGTGTGACAGTGGAGCATGTATCCGTCCAGAGTTGCATTGCGACAATATTGAAAACTGCCACGACGGTTCGGACGAGGAAAAGTGCATAAATCTACAATGTTATAACCCCAACGATTTCCTGTGTGAGAGTGGAGAATGTGTGCCCTCACACTTGCAATGCAACGGGTATGAAAACTGCGTCGACGGATCAGATGAAGATGAACAAAATTGCATAGTATCAAACGAATGTTACAACCCCAGCGATTTCATGTGTGACAATGGAGCATGTATCCGTGCAGAGTGGCAATGTGACGGTATGGTAAACTGCTTCGACGGTACAGACGAAGAAGATTGCCTACACATGGAATGCTACAACCCGGACGATTTAAAGTGTGACAGTGGAGAATGCATTCGTCCGTGGTGGCAATGCGACGGTTATGGAAACTGCGAGGACGGTTCAGACGAAGAAGATTGCGTAAACAAAGAGTGTTACAACCCTGACGATTTTCAGTGTAAGACTGGAGAGTGTGTCCCCTCGTATTGGCAATGCAACGGTTATGAAAACTGCGTCGACGGCTCAGACGAGGAAGATTGCGAAAACAAAGAATGTAGCAATCCCGATGATTTAAGGTGCGACAGTGGAGCATGTATCCATCTGCGGTGGCAATGCGACGGTTTTGATGACTGTTTAGATAGTTCAGATGAGGAGGATTGCCTAAACAAAGAGTGTTACTACCCGGAGGATTTCAAGTGTGAAAGCGGAGAATGTGTCCGTCCGAACACACAATGCAACAGTTATAATAACTGTAGAGACGGTTCGGATGAGAAAAACTGCTGGAGCAAAGAATGTCCCCTTCTTGCCGTCAGGTGTGAATCTACTGGAGCATGTGTCCCGCAGGAATGGCATTGCAACGGTTACAACAACTGTCCAGACGGTGAAGATGAGCAAAATTGCCATATACCTCTATTGTGTGACGACAATCCAGGTATCTGGCATGAATCATGGAGTGACCGTCCGTACTGGCATTGTGACGGTGTCACCAATTGTCTCAATGGTTTGGATGAGGAAAATTGCATAGTAGAAGATTGTGTCTCGCCCAGGTTTTTCTGTGGACACGGTTCCTGCATCGACGGCACAAAGCGCTGCGATGGCGTCGGGGACTGTTTCGACAAGTCTGATGAGAGCGGCTGTGGTAAGCTTACCTTACTTTTTATTTGTCTTTATCATCACAGAGAAACGATAAGAAGTACCACCTCTCTGTGACAGACTTCTTTAAGTATTTTGACAATTTGAACATGGTTGGTATCAAATCAGTGTGTCCATTGTGGTACGTTTTCGCATACGATACGTGATAGCGTAAAACTATATGTGACTGCCATATGCTGGTATCTTTATTTGCAGTTCTTTGCGTGTCTCGTGACAACCACCAGGCGGAGACACCATTAAATATTTGTCGTTGTGTTATTTTTCTTGCTCAAAGTCTGTCGGAATTCTGTTTTCCTTACTCTTTAACCACCACAATTTGTTTTACTTGCCACTTTGGCTACACATTTGTAAGCTTAACAGTGTATACTGATATGTTACCTTTAACAGTCGCTTTATATCTAGATAATCAAGTCTTTGGATTGTTTTCAAATACGGCAAAAATCTTAAGTACAATGTTGCCGACAAGCTGGGGCGACTAAATTCTTCGGTTGACGATGTACCAGCAAGAGAATGTAGCAAGTACAATTTTGATGACGTTCCCGCGCATTCCTCTGGGTTAGTGCCCATCTGTTCGTAGTAAAACAATGTATGCACAAAGCCCGAGTGCTACTTAGTAATTTGTGCCAGCGTAGGCCCAGTACACCAGGATGCCAGCTACATTTTCCCTCGTAAGGACGACCATGGTGACCAGCTGGATCATTTTCCTATGCCTGCTGTCCATCGGCCATGCCTTCCCTAGCATTGCCGGCTCAGACGAAGAAGAATGCCCCTCCCCAGCCTTCGCTTGCAAAACGACCGACGACTGCGTCGGTTTGGCAGATAGGTGTGACGGTTATGCAGACTGTCCCGACGGCTAAGATGAAGAGTGCGCGGCTTTAGATTGTTTGTCGCCCGACGTTTTCGGCTGTGACGTGGCAGGCCGCTGCCTCTCTCTTGCTGTGGTATGTGACGGTAATAATGATTGTCCAGACGGTTCAGATGAGGAAAACTGTGTATTGTGTCCCTTGTCAAACTCTTTCAAATGTGGAAGCGGAGAATGTATTCCCCTACACTATCGGCGTGACGGTTTAGTAACCTGTAGTGATGGCTCAGATGAAGGAAACTGCACCGCGTGTCCCTTGCCTAACTATCTCAAGTGTGGAAGTGGAGAATGTTTTCGTCCATGGTTGCAATGCGACGGTAATGAATTTTGTATCGACGGTTCAGACGAGGACGATTGCAAAAACAAAGATTGTTACAACCCGGACGATCTCAAGTGTGCCAGCGGAGCATGTATCCGTCCAGAGTGGCAATGCGACGGTATTGAAAACTGCTACGACGGTTCAGACTAACAAGATTGCATCAACAAAGAGTGTTACAACCCTGACTATTTCAAGTGTGACGGTGGAGAATGCATTTTTCCAGAGTGGCAATGCGACGGTCTTGTGAATTGCCAGGACGGTTCAGATGAAAAAGATTGCCTAAACATAGAATGTTACAACCCTGATGATTTCAAATGTGACAGTGGTCAGTGTATCCGTCCAGAATGGCAATGCAACGATATTGAAAACTACCACGACGGTTCAGACGAAGTTGACCAAAAGTTCATATTATTTAACGAATGTTACAACACCAAAGATTTCATGTGTGACAATGGAGCATGTATCCGTCCAGAATGGCAATGTGACGGTATTGATAACTGCTTCGACGGTACAGACGAAGGTTGTCTACACAAAGTGTTACAACCCCAACGATTTCAAGTGTGGCGGTGGAGAATGTGTCCCCTCCTATTGGAAATGCAACGGTTATGAAAACTGCGTCGACGGGTCAGACGAAGAAGATTGCGTAAACAAAGATTGTTACAACTCTGACGATTTTAAGTGCGAGAGTGGAGAATGTATTCCTCCGTGGTTGGTATGCGATGGTTTTGATGACTGTTAAGATAGTTCAGATGAGAGGGATTGCCTAAACAAAGAGTGTTACTACCCCGAGGATTTCAAGTGTAAAAGCGGAGAATGTGTCCGTCCGAACACACAATGCGACAGTTATAATAACTGTAGAGACGGTTCGGATGAGAAAAACTGCTGGAGCAAAGATTGCCCCCTTCTCGCTGTCAGGTGTGAAACTACTGGAGCATGTGTCCCGCTGGAATGGCAGTGCAACGGTTACAGCAACTGTCCGGAGGGTGAAGATGAGCAAAATTGTCAGGGACCTATAGCATGTGTCGAAATGACCGGCTACGAGTCATGGAGTGACCGTCCGTACTGGCATTGTGACGGATTCACTGATTGTCCCGATGGTTTGGATGATTGCATAGTAGAAGATTGTGTCTCGCCCGGGGTTTTCTGTGGACACGGTTCCTGCGATGGCGTCGGGGACTGTTTCGACAAGTCTGATGAGAGCGGCTGTGGTAAGCTCGCCTTTCATTTATTTTTAACATTACAGAGAGACGAGAAGAAGCCGAACCCCTGTATTAGAGTAGTCTTAGAGCTAATGTTGTTGATGTAAAATATATACATTAGATTAGTATTAGAAAGGCGTGTATTTACTGTATACCATTGCATCTGTTGACCTGTACTTAGACCGATTGGGCATGAATGTACAATAAAGGTTATTATATTTTAATTCATACCATGGTATGGATGGAATATTGTTTTCCCTTTTGTTTCTTCTCCTTCTTCTCCTTCTCCCCCTGCAATTTCTTCAAATGGATACAATTCTTCATTTGACATCAAACGTGATGGAGTGGAAATATTTTGCACATCTGAAAATAGTTTCATCAGGTTGTTAGAACATAGGATATAGACCACGGTCTCAACTCATCCACGTTCAGAATTGTGTTCTCGCCGCAAAAGCGCCACCAGCATTGGCTACATATAGCGGCGAGAAGCAAAACTCCAGTCAGAAGCTCTGAGGAAGGTGTCTAAAAGACACCGGAAGGTAAGCAAGGTGAGAGAAGTTTTGGTTATGTAAAAAGAAAATCCCTGTAACCTATCTGTTGTACAGTGTGTACCAGTGTGGATTTCCAATGTGAAGGCAGCGGCAAGTGTGTAGCACCCTCTGCAGCGTGCGACGGCGTCATCGACTGTGAGGATGCAACGGACGAACTGTCGTGCCGTACGTTTTATGCAAATTGTGTTATGCAAATTATTTGATGCAAATTATTTGATGCAAATTTTCAATGCAGATTTTAATGCAGATTTTGTGCAAATTCGTTTATGCAAATTCTTTTGTGCAAATTCTTTTATGCAAATTCTTTTATGCAAATTCTTTTATGCAAATTCTTTTATGCAAATTCTTTTATGCAAATTCTTTTATGCAAATTCTTTTATGCAAATTCTTTTATGCAAATTCTTTTTGCAAGGTTGAAGATGAGTTTGTCTGCGTTGGTGCCGACAAGAATAATTTGAAAAAAAACTGAGTTTGCCGTCGTCATGTCTTGTAATAGATGTTGTGATAGAAACAAAAGCTGACATTCCACTCCGTGTCTTCAGAGCCGTGTGAAGAGCCCGGCCTGTGGCAGTGCCACAGCGGCGGATGCATCCACATCCTCTCGGTTTGTGATGGGGACATGGACTGCTCTACTGGGGAAGACGAGGAGAACTGTCACAGTAGGTTCAGCCACACATAAGCACACACATAAACACACACGCACACGCACATACATACAGACATACACACACATACATACAGACATACACACACAAACACACATACACATATGCATGCACACACACACACACATGCACACACATATACACACACGCACACACACACACACATACACAGAGAGAAAAAGAGAGATAAGCATACACACAGATACACAAACACACACACAGCCATACACACTGTTACAGTAGGTATATATAAAATTATACATATACAGAGAGAGAATAGAGAGACAGCAACGGAGAGGGAGAGAGAGAGAATAGACAGACGGTGAGAGAGAGGTCTATTAATTTGACATGTCTCAAGAACATTTGAGTGTGGTTTATTATAGCATCAACTATATCACAATAGTCGCAACCAGAAGGCTGAATTGATGAATCGATATTGCAAACATTTACTGCAACATTAAAGATAGACTGCCTACACAGGCTAACAATTTGCGATCAACATAATTATTCCTATAAACACAACGATTTACATTATAAAATTGGAATACTTTAAGATTAAGTAGAAAATACGAGTTATAAGGCAATTAGCGACATTGAAAACAACTGTACGTAAAGAAACTACATTGCAGCCTAATAATACAAAGAAAAACGCTGAATTACGCAGTTTCAATATTTACAAACACAACCAAACTGAATAACAAGAAACAGTGGTCGAGTGAATACACAATAGACAAAACACTGTTCAGGAGTTTTGACAGATACGGAATGGCACTGTTCCTGTACCTGTCCGATCGTATAAAATGTACGCTAAGCTGGGACCCCCCTTTTACAGGCAGAACGGCATATTTGTGTGTCAATGATGCTGCTGTCCTCTTTACAGCTCCCTGCCACGGTCTCCAGCTAGAGTGTGACGGGGGATGTCTGCCGAGATACCTCGTCTGTGACGGGCTGCAAGACTGTTCTAATGGAGAGGACGAGATCAACTGTACAGACGGAGGTGGGAGTCGCCTTTTTTGTTTAGGCCACACCAATTTAATTTGAAGCGACAGGGCGAAATAAAAAATAAAATAAAATAAAATAAAATAAAATAAAATAAAATAAAATAAAATAAAATAAAATAAAATAAAATAAAATAAAATAAAATAAAATAAAATAAAATAAAATAAAATAAAATAAAATAAAATAAAATAAAATAAAATAAAATAAAATAAAATAAAATAAAATAAAATAAATAACTAG